ATACAGTCTTATTTCGTGGTTAAAATGTAAAGTCACATGACTTAAAAAATCACGATGAATCAGTTCAGTGGTTGAGAACATTTGCTGATCTTGCTGAGGCCCCAGGTTCAGTTCCTGGTCTTGGGAATGAGAGCACCTCTTAACAGAGAGCACATGTTCATCACCTCATCTCATGGGGAACTGCTTCCTATGGGGCCTTGGGAGCAGCTAGAAGACAGCTTATAAAAGGAAGGGTCACAGTCTCACCTCAGAGGTTTGTCACATGGAGTTTGACTATTTCTACCAAAAAGGATGTTCAAATTTTGAAACTACTTTAAAAAATAACTTCATAGGCTTACATGCAAGACATAAATATTAGAGAGAAAGAATGGAAAATAACAAGTTAATTTGACTTAGGAACAAAAAGTAGGGCCCACATCTGCCTTTTGGCTTTGGCACTTTTGTCATTTTGAGATGGGCTTTTTGTCAGCATATGCCTGTCAGGGGTTACCTCCCAATGCTCAAGTCTTCTATCTGTGGGATTCTCCTTTCCTCAAGAAATCAGTGAGCTCTACCAAGTGCCAGATATTTGTGTCTAGAGCAGAGGCTTAGTTAATGCGCATAGCAGGGCCAGAGGCCAGTTCGAGATGTGCCACTTTCAGAGGATCCTCTCCCACCACCTCTGGTTCAGGCCTGGCACGAGATGCTAGAGGTATCTGGGTCTGTCAGTCAAACGACAGAGCCCAAAGAGCCAAGTCCAATCCCAGTCAGCAGTCACACACACAGTGAGTCAGACGCTCCAAGGAGTTCCCTTGAAGGATCAGTCAAGGGCCACTGTGTTTGATAATGCAGAGCAGTCAGGTCTGAAGGAAACTCCTGCTACTCAACTCAAGGTTCCATTGAGGGTTTGGGTAAAGAAAACAGGGGCTACAGCTCACTAAGGAAGTCAGAGGGTAAGTTTTATAAGACTAAGCTGCTTAGACTCTGAGGTTACTAGGAAGACCTGTGGGAAGAAATGATTTGGAAGGCCCATGTGGTTATCTGTGCAACTGCCTGTGTAAAGCAGCCAGAATACTAAGGCAGCAACCTCACAGAGATACAGACAATGTGAAAACACTTGGAAAATGGTTTAATGTTTTACAACAGAAATTGCAACTGTACAGTTACAGTAAGTTTAATATATATAAAAATTACAGCAGACAAATGCATCTACACAAACCCACCATTTCATTCTGATTCACTGGCACCCATACAATCTCTCCCAAGCCCTGGCCCCTCTGCCAGCCCCAGAGGGGGAAATCACATAAAGGGCACTTTTAAAGAGACAGCACCGCTCATAGTCCCCACCACTTCCCCAGTCCTCTGGAGGATCAGCTAAACCCCAACAAGTAGAACTGCTTGTGTTTCAGGTTTCTCAGGGGGCACAGATAACAAGGACCAGCACTCCGAGTTATCAGCTGACTTTTATAAACTATTCCCATGGGAGGAGAAATGGCTACAGACGCTCTGGGGCAGTGAGGCTACACAATAGCCACCCAGACTGCAAAGTCATCTTAAGGAGAAATGTAAGAGGACACCCAATAACTACGCAGGAATTCTTACTGCCTATTACAGCTGCTGGGCAGTTCTGGAAAGAATCACGTATATCATATTGTAAGTTTCCACAAAGAAGAACTCAAAGTCACATTTGAAAGTACACAAAATAACATTTGGGGAGGCCAAGGTGCCAATTTCCCTTGTGTTCCTCCCTTGACAACAGTGGAAAAACACTCCTGAGTCAATATTAACTATAAAAGAGGAAGGAAAAGCTGGGTGTTAAGATATTTAAAAGCTGAAGAAGTAAACAGCTTTAGAAAAACATGATCGCCCTCTCTTGAAAACCAGGCCAACCCTGGCAGTTGTCAGGGACTCCACACCCCCAGTGGACACAGCTGGAGGGAAGACTGAATTGCACGTACACTCAGAACTTTTCATTTTTAGTGTGAACGGCTAGGCAGTGAAAGCTGTTATGTTAACCCATACAGGCACATCGCAAACCTACAAAACCACTATCATTTCAAACTACCAAGAATAGGACAGCGCAAGTTTTCATGCTATGACTTTAAGAGCATTACACTGAAACAAACAAGAAGTTAAATGACATTTTTCTTTTAATATCCTGGAAATATACCAAAATATACATCTAAGCTTTGGAATTACTGAGGTTAGACTAATGCAAGTGCTGGGTAATCGTACTTAATACACAAGTCTAAGGTTCTGCAGGAAAGAAATTGTCTTTGGTATCTGCATCAGGCTAATATTATTAACATTTGGATTTTGCTTTGGGATAGAGCTTGTATGACCCTAGAACCAAATACCCCCCTCCCCCAATGAACTGAGATTAAAAAGATCCATGTAAAAATCTCCTTCATTTGCGACCCCCCCCACCTCCCCACCCCAAGTTAAAAAGTCACAGGCATCTACCTAGCACAAAGGTTATGAAATACAATGCATAGTTGCACAGTGGTGCTGCAAAAGGAAACAAAACTACAAACAAGAAAAGAAAAGTTTGATAATCGCTCTGTATGTTTCCTCACAAACGGGACAGCCACTTCCAAGCAGTTCCAGTAAAGAAAAGAGAAAGAAGGCTCAGAAGGGCCCCTTGGGTGTGTAGACCCAGCCCCAGAGGTGAAAGCACCCAGCAGAGCAGCCAATCCTGTGCCAGTGTCTTCAGCGTCCCCATTCTGTGGAGTGGTGGCCATCATGTAGCAGCTCCCAGCTCTAAGGCCTTGTGCTAAGCTCTGGTGATGACCCTGGTTGTTGTCAGATGGGTTGTAGTGATGGGGTTTTGGCTTTGGTTTTGGCAAATCTCATGTGCCAGTATTTTTCATGCATGTTCTGCTCACAGCTAAAGAGTCAAAACTACTGAGCAGGCACCCGAACAAAACTCTCAACTTGGAAAAAAGCTTGCTTGCCCTTTTGAGCTGGTCAGAGGTGTCTCCACCTGCCCTTGGGCATGTCTCCAAGTGCCAGGACGCCACAGACTGGATTGAGGCTGAAGACTTCCCTTTTCTTTGGTTTTTTTGTTTGTTTTGAGTTTATACAATCATTAAGAAATCTTTGGTTTTGGCTGGAAATGGAAAAACAAAACAAAACAAAGAAACCACCCTCCCCTGGCTTATAGCAGCAGTGTTATGACCTGACCTGGTTAAGCTTCTTATTTATCCCCCAACTTTGGGAGTAGGGATTAAAAGTTGAGAACTACATTCAAAGAAAAGGTTGAAAGGGCCAGGAATGCAGCTTACAAAAAGCCCATTGGATATAAGATTGTCAAATAATAATAATTATTATAATAATATTAACAATAAACTTAAATATTTGGTTGTTTCTTTGTTTTTGGTCATGTCACACAGGAAACAAGAGAAATGTGTATGCGGCAGTCATCTTAAATGAACCTTTGGGTGTCCTTTCTACCAAGTCTTGGCAATGAGCAGAACCCCAATGTTCAGAGGGGAAGGGTCAGCTGTGACCCCACTTGGAAAATGCCAAGGACAGAAGCTGTGTGTGTCTAGCAATTGGAAATATGGGGCAGATGGGGGAGAGGAGAGCTGGCAGTCTTTGAAGGCAAGGTAGTGGGGGAAACATAGGAGACCTGTAATGATCCCTGACAACAAAACAAACAGGAGATTGCAATTTGCCCTCAGTTTGTAGTAGCTTCAAAACAGAGACATTCAGAGGCTTAGGGGCAGGGCTCATCCCACCCTAGGCGACAGGTCTTATGATGCTATAGGCCAGAGTTCAATGTTGCTGAGAAGAGGGAGGGCAGACTTGGCAACTCTGTAGGGTCGAGAGGAACTTAAAGCAAGTTACTTAGTCACAAGTTAGAAATGAGGTATACAACAGCTCCTGGACAACTGGTGGGCAAAAAACCCCACACTTACTCACCTAGCCTTCACTACTACCACAGAGAAGAGGAATGACTGAGGTCCACTCTGGGAAGAGGTACCTCCCCCAGTGAGTCCTCCTGTGGACTGAGTAATGCACACATTCCCATGGAAGCAGAGGTAAGGAGTGGGAAGAAGGAAGTCTTTCTCTCACCATCTGGTCTTAGAGGAGACACCATTTACCATTTATATCGTATAAAGCCAATGTTGCAATATTATCACAGTCTTGGCAAACATGCCACCCCCACAATGTTTGCAATTTTATACCTAACCAGGCTAGCACTAACTAATTTACTTTATCCTTATAAAACATGTGCCTCCTGCAGACTCATGTAGGAATGGAACCCAAGACACACTGCCCCCAACCAACCTAGCACAGTGCTTCTAAGAGAGACAGTCACACCAGTGTGGGAAAGTGCATTTTGTTTCTGTCATTAATTTTCAGACCTGAGACACTCTCAGGGCTGGATGGGCACTGACCGTTTTTATCTAACGAGATCACATAAGGAGCTTCCATGCAGATGCTTCCTTGTTGAAACAGCACTGTAGCCAGCTGTCTTGTCTGCCTGCAGACCGTGGGATACAGCGATGGAGATCACTACCACTGGCAATTTAGGAGAGAAGCTCTAAGCTGCTTTTGTGAGGTTGTGGTTACGTTAAACAGTGACGAACAAGTAAAGAAAACAAGGGAAAATGTTACAGCAGACCTCAGCTTCTCCCTTTCCCCAGTAAATTAGTCTGGGGTTCTTAATTTTCTGACAGTGTCCTGGGTTTAAACCAGAAGGTGGCAAGGGTGGTGGAGTCCTGTGCAGTGTGGGCAGACTCAGGGATGCAGAAGAATCATAAACGGCTTCCCTCCCTGAACCCTGGAGCTTCACTTTCACAGTCGAAATGATGTTCATGATGCATATTGTTTTCCCACAGCATTTGTTTCAAGTGCTCTTACTTTAATATCTCTATTACCATATAAACCTACCTAATGCTTTGAAAAGTCACACCACATTAACACTACTTTTATATAATGTCAGAATAACAAGTAAAGCTTTCATGAAGTTTAGCAACCCAATCACGTTTGTTGGACCATTAGTAACACGTGTCTTTTCCTTCTCTCTCCATGTCTATGTTTATTTATCAATAGTATTCCTAAACAATGAACATCTTAATTTCCCAGAGGCCATATCTTAAAAACACTGTAGAGCAAAATAGCTCTACAGGAGAGTAAGAGAACATCATTTGGCTTTCATGTAGTCTGCTCTTCATAATTAAATATTGACTGTTATCCAACAACCTGCTATCTAACAGGTTGGATGGACTAGTTTTATTTTTAAGAATTAGATAAGAGAAATAAAAATTCTACTGCTTTTTTTTTTTTTTTTTTTTTTGCACTCCTCAAGTTTCTTGCTCGGTAAGAATATCAATGCCATGCTGAGCAATTCTAGTAGTGTCCACAGAGCAGCAGGGAGGAAGAAACAATCTCTGCGAAGCAAGAATGACCAATGAGACATCTTTCCAAAAGTGAGGAAGGAGTGAAGGAATGGGAAGAACAGAGACTAACTTAAGCATTTTCTCTATCCTTTGACTATTTGGAAAGCTTAATGATAAGCAACAGTACAGCAGTGTCTTTGGCATCAAAATCAAATCCCATTCAAGTTCTGTGAGCTGGGACATTTATTAAAAAAAAAAATAGTTCTTGAGATATAGTTAGTATCAGAACTCAGGGAGTCAAGAAAGTCTGTCCCAGAATGAGGCAGAAAGGTTTTTAATTTTTCCCTTAACTAACATAGTTTCGCACTTCTTCCATCTCATCAACCAATCCTGAAATGCCACACCTTACTATAGGTGCCAAGTGTGCGGTTAGCTTTAAACTTCTTGATTTTTCTTTTGTGTTTTGGTCTAGACAGAATTATCCTTGAAATAAGAAAAAGAAACAAGGTTTAAAAAAATATTGGGCTACTACTAGCACAGCATTCACTAACATGACAGAGGATGACTCACTTCACCTTAATTTTCCTAGATCAAGATATATCACTTACCTCCTCCTCTCCATCCCTCTTCAAACTCCTTGGACACATGTCTCTATCTGTCTCTTTTCATCTGTGCAGTTGGACATGCACACTCTCTTCCTTTGCCTAGGCTTTAGCTATATACAGAGGTAATGGATCATTAGGAGAGGCTGGTAGGTCTGGTGAGGGGGGGCATGGCAGCCACAGACAAGAAGGGTTGTAAATCTGCCCTTGGGCACCCTGAACCTATTGGACACCCCACATGTCACCCGCATGCCTCTGCACACTGTGCTGCATATCAGATGACAGAGGCCTCAAACCCCCACCCAGTCACAGGGAATATCAAGTTTCCTTTGGCAAGACAGATATAAAGAAAAACACATACGAGCAATATTTTCCTTCTAACATAATCAATTTCTCCTTTCTCCCACTCCAACCCCCCCAACCCTATAAACAGGATCCCGAATACATACAGCATCAATCATGTTTATCAACCATAATAAACATTAGTTCAACTAAATACTACAGCTAGAATTATTTCCACTATTTATAAAGATTTTTTCTTTCACTTATTTGGTTTTTACGTCTAAAACCAGTTCGCAACAATGCTAAGCTATGCTGAGGTATTTTATGAAGGTGCCAGAAGCTGTTACCCACAAGCATTATTCTCACAGATTAGGTACCACCATTCAAAGAGAAAAAGGGAAGGAAAAAGAGGCAAGAGATCCAGATCACAGAACTGACACATGATTCACAAGCTCACTGCTTTTAGAAAAGGCCAAGAGCAGAAAAGTCAAAATAATTTAAGAATGGAATGCCGGTTAGAAGAAATTCTAGACACAAACCAACTTCCAAGGAACCCCCCTGCCTCCTGGTAGAACTTTATTACACTAACTCTCCATGGATGAGGAGAAGGCAAAGAGATCCCATCAACCTTTAATAATGAAAGCAACTCATTTCTGCTTTTCTACTCAGGCCTGTGTGTACACTGTGGGTGCCATCATATAAGCCTAGAGTGGCTCTTAGTTTGAGAGAAACAAGCAAAGAATTATTTTTCCTCCTCAAAAGTGAAAATAATATTAAGAGAGTCTTATTTTTACAAGTCTCTGAAAATGATTTCAAAATAGCCAGGGATTTCTTTATATGAACAATATAACATGGTAAATGCTGTTCATACCCACAAATCAAAGTAAACTCATAACAGTTATGAATGAATTACTAAATCAATTTCTGCCCACTTGGATAATTATGGGTTTTAGGTCTTTTAGTATTTCCCTCCCATTAGCACTGTAATCTTGAATGTTTTCGGTTCCAATTAAGTACACTTTATACTCATCAACTTCAGCAGCCAATTTAAAGTTTCTGAACAAGCTTTCCTGCTGAGTTGCTAAGGTCCTTCTTTCTGTCTTATCAAGTGCTCAGGTAGATTGGTCAGAGTTCCTCAGGGCCAGGGCCAACTCAGGTTGCCAGCAGGAAACTGTCTTCTACACACTAGGGCAGCATTTCTCCTATCTTGGGAGAAACATGAACAGGTGTCTCTTTGCCTTCCTATTTCAATGACCTTATTTTTCTCTTGGTCAAGGAAAATTTGTGAGGATGACATTAAGAACTTAGACTGTAAACTAAAGCATTTTTTCTAACATAATATCCCTATATTTACAAATGTACCTGGCGTTTCCAGCAAGTTAAATGTTATCATTTAAGCTAAACTGAAATACTGTCAAGCAAAAACCTGTGCTTCTGGATAATAAAGAGATAATTTCTCCAATTTTCCCAAATAATTGAAGGATAGACATAATATTAAAGAGGTATAATTGTGCTTTTTTCCTAAAACAAATGATGATGTAGAACAAACTGGCAAGATGATCACACCCAAAATCTTTTAATTGATATTGTCCCTTTAAAAATATTCTATTAAAGCTCATGAAGCACAAATAGGTTGGTCCTACACAAGATGAAAGCCGGATTCCTTTGGTTCTATTTTGGAGTAATAAGTTACATAAACAGGATGGCAATGACCTTCCTGACAACAGATAAGTTTCCTCATTCTAAGGAGCTGCCTATAGAATTTCAGAGACATTCAAGCTAACAGAGCATTCTACTGATTCCTAGAACAGTAATACTGCTCCTGTGAGAAGCCTTATAGATCCTTCTGTTGTCATTCAGATTTACACAGGGTATAAATAAAGTTTCTGCCAAACTGCATTGCAAAACAGATTGAACAATTACATTCACTACTCTCCAGGCAAATATCATATCACAGGCAAATAGAGTATCCTTAAAAATGTATTTAAAATTAGTCTTTGGCTTACTATGTGTTAACTAATATTCAGGGCTGAAATAAAATCTGCATCAATGTCAGGAGGAGGAGAAAAATGAAATAACGAGCTATAATAACCTGTCTGGTGTTTCTTCTGGAAATACAGAAACTCAACCAAATGCCTTTTATTCAAACGACCCCTTTAGTTTCTAGACTCCCTCATAAAAGGCAACACTTTAGCTTAAAAGATAGATCAGTCAATTCAAAAAGCATTTGAGATCATTAAAAAAAAAGGTGCTATCAATTGAAAAGTAGCCAAGGTGTTTGTGAAATGAGACTTAGAGAATATCGAGGTGGTGATAAAGGCGGCTCTAAACTGAACGCCCACCAGCAGGTGTTAGTAGTGTGTCACGTATACATGTACAAAGTACCTTTCATTTTACAATTTAATTTTGAATATATGAAAAAGGAGAGGGAAAAATTAAAGTTATCTTCTTCTAAAGATTTTTTTTCTTCTCAATACAGCACTTATGCTGGTTTTAATGTCTATCCTCAAATGAACTACATAAAAAGGCAGCATTTCTTTCTCAAACCAACTAGAAACTACAGACAAAGGAGGGACTGACAAACCATTGGACTGACATGTAAAGTTAATATCATCTTTAAAAATCAAAGTCTGGCCAGGCGGTGGTGGCGCACGCCTTTAATCCCAGCACTCAGGAGGCATAGACAGGCGGATCTCTGGGAGTTCGATGCCAGCCTGGTCTACAAGAGCTAGTTCCAGGACAGGCTCCAAAGCTACAGAGAAACCCTGTCTCGAAAAACCAAAAAAAAAAACCCCCCCCCCCCCCCCCAATCAAAGTCTGTAGGGGAATCTTATTTATGAAAGATTCTTTTAACCATATAGGATTAAACAAAACAGCCTTTCTCTGTCCTTTTTAACTCCTTGGGCCAGGTCCCTTGAGACAATACTTACTTTGGTAGCGATTCTGGGCATTAATGCTATAACGTATGACCTGGTATGGTGGGCAATCAGCATTTCTCTCCCTGAATTCTTTCTCCTAACTTCATCACTCCCAAGGGAGGGTCTCTCTGCTAGGAGGAGAAATAGTATTGACAGCCCTATAATCATGTGCACAGATTAAGGTTAGAGTGTTAAGTCAAAATAAAGATTAAACTCACAGGAAAGAAAGAACTGATGGGGAGGAGAGAAATTATTAACTGACACAGCCATTCTATTTACACAATGACCTAAACAAACTACCTAAAAATCATGGCAATGTCTGCCCAGAGGATATTACAATTTACCAACATAGAAGATAAAAACAAGCAGCAACTTTCACATAAAATTAATCAAGAAAAATGAATAAGAAATTGTCAGTAGCATCTATCTCCTCAATGTGTTTGAACTGCACATTATAACTAGTCCATTAGTACAGCAGCTTGCTAAAATTGACTTTGGTTCAAGCTTAGTTTAAAGAACAAAACAAAACAAAACTACCCATACCGTACAAAACAGGTGGATGAGCATTTGTTAGTTTCCCTGCTTGCAGTTCATTGATTCTTAAAGAAGTTTAGGAAAAGTTAAGGGTCAGAGAAATTCGGGGGTAAAAATTCAATATCCAAGAAATAAAAGGAACTAAAGAAAAATTTAAAGGGGAACCAAAATGATTCTGACCTTTAATAATAATATGACCTTTCTCTAATTGAATCACAAAGAAAGATACACATTTGTGTCTGTGTTACTGCCTTTCTGAGCAACAGTGCAGAGAGACAAATGCACAGAATCCAAGTTTCCTATGGGCATAAGCAAAGCTATCAGAAGGAAAGTCACCTCAGCTCAGTGCAGACCACCAGAAACCGAAGCAAGCACTTAAGACACCAATGGGGACCTTAACTCCAGTAAGGGCAACTTAGATGAACTTCACTGCGATGACCCAGTCATCTGTGAAAATTCTGGTCCAGATAGTATAATAATAGGGCATTGTCAAAAGGGGAAATTTAATCTCTAAATTACCCTCATTCATCTTCATCCATTTTCACAAGCTCTTCCTTTTCAATGGGCTCATTTATGTAGTCTAGAAACACCCTGAAAACAATTACAGGAGCAAATCACTTTTTTACATCAAATAAGAGATGTATATTGTCACCAAACCTACCTAGCAGGGACATAACAAACTAGAGACACTAACAGGGTGTGAAGTTCCTGCTCAGCCTTTTTCTGAGGTTCTATAGATCCTTTGCCTAGTCAGGAAAGTGCCTCTGTCAGTCAAAGAACTGAGGAAAGTCTGAGGCTTGGAGGAGCTTCTGAGCCACTCAGCGGACAGGAAGTCTGTGACTCTAGAGCACTGGTTCTCAACCTTCCCAATGCTGTGACCCTTTAATACAGTTTCTCATGTTGTGGTCACCCACCAACCATAAAACTATTTTCATTGCTACTTCATAACTATAATTTTGCTACTGTTATGAACTGCAATGTAAATATCTGATATGTAAATAGTCTTAAGTGACCCCTGTAAAACAGCTGTTTGACTCCCCCCCCCCCCACGGGGTCGAGGCCCTGAGGTTGAGAACTTCTGCTCTAGAGGAAAAGGTGGCAGATTCAGACTCTATATATTGACCTTTTTGGGATATTAATTAGTAGAAAACAGTCCAAAAGAATTTCTTTAAGAAAACAAAAAAGGCTTGTTTCTCAGTTTCAGTAAATCAATTTGATCTTGACTAAAGGAAGTTTGGATAGAAAATTTCCATAAAATGAAAACACACAAGCAAACAAAAAAACATCAACAGTAGGAGCATTAAAAAAAAAAAAAAAGAGAGAGAGAGAGAAATCAGGAGAACCACCAAGTCAGGTGTCTGCAGTAGTCTTTGCTCTCCGGAACCAAAACCTGCCCTGCAACAGGCACAGCTGTTCCCACTGAAAGTAGCAGAAAGCAGCACTGTTGCACCACAGGGTTTGGGCCTCGGGGTTGCTCAATGATTAGGGGTGAGTGAGAACTACAGTTCAGCAGGAATTCTTCCTACACAAGAGTGCTCCAAAGGCACCACCTGATGGGGAGGAGCGTGTGTGGAGCAGGAGTGTGCACACACTGCCTTCAGCTTCTGCACCAAGCCTCTTGCATAAGTGGCAAAAGAAAATAATTTTCTAGCACCTCTGTAAGAGTCATCAAGGATAAAGAAACCAGCAAGAACATTCCTGGAAGTTAAGAATGCAATTCTCCCTTAACCCCCAAACCCTCCCTCCCCACAGTGTGGGAGCTCACTGAAATAGGATCCAGGAGCAAGAGATAAACATGTCCAATATATATATATATATATATATAAAAAAACAATAACAGAGATACAGTAATACAGGCCTGCCTAAATTGTACCAGTTAAGAAAGGAACCCCCAACACAATTGATACGATTATAAACACCTTGTTATGACTTAATGGCCTGTACAACAGACCTATAAAAATGATTTTTTGAAAAAAAAAAAAAAAAAGAAAGAAAGAAAACACAAGACACCCCTTCCTCTACTGGAACTGGTCACCCACCTTTGCTTGTCATTATGACTGCTGGAAATGGGAAGTAGTCCTTTCATTTATTTTTGTCTGTTTTGGATTTTTTGTTTCTGTTTTTTTTTTTCTTTTAAATTTTTGGTTAGAAAGTTCTCTAATCCATGAAGCAATCCTGAAAAGACATTGTTTTTTTTTCTTTTTTCTTTTTTTATAAAATTAGGCAAATGTTGTTCTGTCTCCATTCTTTTTTTTCCTGGTAAGTGTATTTTTTCTTTTCTCCATGTCTCCCTCATCTTCACAACATGGTGGGAGGAAGCCAATCACACCTGTCTGTTTCCTAACAGCTGGCAGCCCATTATGCTGCACTGGCAAAGGTCTGTGGCAGCCCGGCTCTGCACCCAGCTCACTGTGCCTTGGAGGCAGTGGTGGTGGTGGAAGCAGCCCCACCGGCAGAGGCTACTGTGAACAGAGAGTTCTGGATGGATTCAGCAGAGGTGGAGGAGGCATGAAGGCTGGCTGTAGGTGCAGAGTTCCCTGTGGAGGCTGCAGCTGCAGAAACCAAGCTTACTGGGTTGCTGGTGAGCAGAGAGAGGTTCTGAGGGTTCAGGAACAGAGGGGCAGTCACGATGTTGGGGGCTCCTCCTGCATTGGCAAATACCAGGTTCCCAGTAGCATCCAGTGACGTTATTGGAAGAGAACCACTAGAAGCAAGAGCTATAGACAAGAACCCAGAACAGAAAGAACATTAAACTTCATCCTGGAGAAGCCAAACCACCCATCAGCAAAGCTCTCCTCAGCAGCAGAGTATACTCTTCACTGACTATATACTCAATTCTAATGCTCCAATTATAATGTTATTATAATGCTATACTTAAATTACAATGCTATACTGACATCAACTCAAGTTTATTTATAATTTTGAAGCATCCAAAGAACTGGAAGTCAGTTTAATAAGTATAAGCAGGACAAATGAATGGGGAAGAATCAATCATGTTTCTATCTTTTAAGTCTCAAGTTTATGTCATTTACTTACAAAGACTTGTTAAAATCCAACAATTCTGTTTTTTCAATGAAACTGACTTAAAACTATCTCCATTCAAAAGACTACTAGTTAAAGTGACTGAGTGTTAAAAATACATTTAGCTTTTAACAACTCAGCTACCATTATGTAACACTATTTGACAAAATTTGTATAAGATGAAAGTCATCTTTCCACAGGCTTTAGTCATGAAAATTTATATATTACTAAATAAAGAAAAAGGCACAATTTAAAAATTTTGCTTTTATACTTCTAGAGGCAGAACACTTGACTCTTATGAACTGTGCAAAGAATACTGTTTATTATAGGAGGAGACACAACACACAATGATGTGTGAGTGATCTAAGGTTAAGATTTGCTAATGAATGCTGCAAAATTTTTCTATGATGCTTCCCCACAGGACATATCACTAAATGTTATTTCTAGTTGAAAGGAATCCCTGATTTTGAAAATGAGTATACATACAATATACAACCTGGAGCCCTGGTGCAGACTGACAGACGTGTCCTGGACTCAAGGCTCAGGGTCATAAAGTGACTGTACGTCTTTCTGGAGAATGCTCTACAGACACTCATGCCTTAGGAAAGGCATAAACTGTAAGCCAGAGATATGCCCTATGCAGGACTCATCCCAAATATTCTAAAGGATATTGCTGCACAATGAAAACACTACACATCCATCTAACCATCAGTCCGGACACAAGTCGGTCAAATAGAATCCAACAAACCAGCAGGGCAATGCAGGCCACAATTTGATTTCTATCTGTAGTTTAACATTGCCTACAGTAAGTATATGGTTAGACATATCACTCACTGAAACGTGCCAGGACCTGCCAGCTTGTTTTTGATCCCAATAATTCTTATTTAATTATAAAGTATTTTAAGAAAAAAAAACCCAAACAAACCCAAAAACTCTTTCAGTCCAAAAACGAATTTTCCCCAAATAAACATCTTTAGGTATAAAACTTAGATCCTGAACAAGGCAAAGTACATCCTTCACTGTATGAATAAGCATCACCTTAAGTAACAATGAGAAAAGGCTGACATGGACCCAAAAAGAACTTGGAAAAAGTATTTATAATCCAAGAACATATGTCCTACACTGATGGGAATATACAGGGGGGAAAATTTAACAAGGGTGAAAAATATCCTGGAGATCTGTGGGATGTACGCTACCATTCCAATGGCTACAGGTGGGGATAGAACTGAGGAGTTTTACTTGAAGAAGCTTGCCTTGAGATAGGTTAACATCAGGAGGAAATCTATCTTTCTATTCATAGAAAAGTGCAAATTTCTTGGAATAAATCAAATTATGTAATGTTTGTTGTTCTTACAAACTCACCTGTACATTCTTCTACAAAACTTTTTTTTACAGGACATCTTGATCTTCAGGAACAACTTAATCAGCATTCAACTCTCTCCTTACCTTAATCTCTAGCAAGGCAGATAGCCTCCAACACAGACAGACAGACAGACAGACAGACAGACAGACACACACACACACACACACACACACACTCAGGTGCAAGAAGCAAGAAAAAAAAACGCTACTGACCTTGAATAGTAGCCAGTGTACTGTTGCTCATCAGGGCTGGGCTCAGAGCCCCGCCCAGAGTTCCCGGATTGAGACTGAGTAAGGCACCTCTGCAAGTGCAAAAGAGGAGTCACTCTACTGCCACGCACACATACCTGTTATTTTGACAACATACCAAATTGATAATAAAATAATAATGATAATAAAGAAAACTTCAGCTTAGGAAAAATATGGGTATCTTTGTTACTTTCTGTATACTTTCAAATGGTTACAAGTTACTGCTTGATATTTACTTGTATAAACAAGATTATGATAGGCATAAAATATAAAACTTTTAGTCATTCTGACTTTTCTTTGAATTACTTCATTAATTTTTTTTTAGAAAAAAACTGGAAAGGATAATCCTTATTCAACAATAAAAATATAAAATTACCACACTACACTCATTGCTTCTCTATTCACAATAGCTAAGGAATAAATGAAATTAACATAAACTGATGAATGGATAATAAAACTGGTACAAATATACAATGAAATTTTATTCAGCTGTAAAGAAAAGTGAAACTTGTAGGTAAATGGAGAGAACTGGAAAACATTAAGTGAATATCCCGGGCCCAGCATGACAAAGGCTGCATGCTCTCTTTCATATGTGATTCCTAGCTTTGAATCTTTAGCTTATGTTTAACTTGGAGTAACCATAGGTTAGAAAGCCTGAAAGGGTCCATGAGATGGGGAGACAAGAGGCCTTAATAGGGTAGGAGACAGATGTGTGGTATGAAAAGAAGAGGAGGGAAATATGCGGATTAAATGTTTGAGCAGAGATGGGGTGAGGAATGGTGACAGAGAGGGAAGATGGGTCAACAAAAACTAAGGATTTATGAAAAGCCTTGTGGAAACCCCCTGTGTGTAAGCTAATTAAAACACATGATAAACAAATAACAGAAAGCCAGGCAGTGATGGCACACACCTTTCTTTAATCCCAGTACTCAGGAGGCAGAGGCAGGTGGATCTCTGTGAGTTTGAGGTCAGCCTGGTCTACAGAGTGAGTTCCAGAATAGCAAGGGTTATTACACAGAGAAAGCCTGAATTGAAAACCAAACCAAACCAAACCAAACCAAACCAAACCAAACCAAACCAAAACTCAAACAAAAACCAATGTTGTTCCCAGAAGACACAAGTTATTAAACAAAAATCTCAGTGCCATCCATGGGATCCTTCCCTACAAGTTATTGGTCTGTGAGGCTCCAGAGGCTAGCCCTCTTATTTAAAAAAAAAAAAAAAAAGTTAAAACAAACACTATAGGCTATTGCCACTGCTCTTGGTTGTCCATCATAACTAGATTTTAAGACCCTATTACTGAACACACATATACTTAGGTTGCAGTATATAGAAACATCAATCTGGAACTGACAAGGAAATTTCCTCTGCTGGCTAGCTTTCACGATGCCAAGAGGTGCTATATAAACAATGGGAGAGAAAAGATAGCAATAGTCTTATCCAATGCTAGATCTTGTATGTTACAATACTGACCAATCAGGCAAAATATATTTATTGGTACAATAGTGGTATGACTGTTCCAGGGGCAAACAACTGATTTCTGACTTGACTTGTGACCTATTCATAGAGGGAAACAGCCTGGTACTGAAAATCTAGTCAAAAGCCCATGGATGAAGAGGTCATGGCAGCAGACACCAGCTGTTGTTGTTTTATTAAATGGTTACAGCGGATTGCACTTTATAACTATGTAAATACCCGCAGATCTATGATGCTGTTAACCCGGGTCCGAGAAGTTTGTTTTTGTAATGGACAATGATAAACGCAGACTCGTAACTGGTCAAATTATTGAGTGACTGTTGAGTATGTAGCCTTAAATAGGACATCTACATCAACCTATCTTCCTAGCACCAAAACTCAGGGAGTATTGAGGAAGATGTTCCTGGGGCAGACAGGGTGTAAGAGCTGGAGCTGGGGAGTACTACTCTAAAATGCTTTCTCTACACATGACAGTGCAGTCGCACACAATGATTATCTGAATAAGATCGAGCCAGCCAAGTTAGTATGGATGGAGAAGGACTCAAAAGGCTTCATCCCCAGTTGAGGAGCTAATGGAAGTTGATGGCTGCAAAAAGAGGGGAAATAATTTTTCTTTTGTGGGGGAGGATATCTCACATTTGGTAGGTTACCCAATTCATGTGCATATAGGCACACTAATTAGATTAGCTACTTGAAGAAAAAAAAAACAGGAAACACAAAGTTGTGTGTGTATGAGAGTTCAGGGCAGTTTGGGAGGAGTGGGGAATGGATATAATCAAAATAACATTGTATACATGTATGAAATTATCAGAGAATAAAAACTATATGAAAATATATAAAACCAGACATGGCTTTACTCAAGTTTTATCCATTTTTGAGAATAAGAAAGAGGGTAAACTACAATTTAATGAAGAAAGCTTAAGACTATGGAGAATTCTGAGCTCTCTTCCTGGCTCTTACGGCTGAGTCACTCACTGACTCAGTCCTGTGTCATCACGTGGAAATGGTAGTGTGGCTACTTAGAAACTCATGTTCATATCTGTAATCAAAGCAGTCCAGCTCAGATTTGCTGTTCATTTAAGACAGTGATGAAAACTCTTCCCTATGAGTTACAGTAATGGGTTTCTAGTTGTATGGTGGTTTGAAAGAAAACAGCACCCTGCAATGGGAGTGGCACTATTAGGTGTTGTGGTTTTGTATGAGTAGGTGTGGTTTTGTAGGAGGAAGTGTGTCACTGTAGGGGTGGGCTTTGAGGCCTCCTTTGCTCAAGCTATGCTCCGCTCAGTGTAGTAGATAATTCACTTCCTGTTTTCCTGTGGATCAAGATGTAGAACTCTCAGTTCCTTCTCCAGCACCATGCCTGCTTACATGCCAATATGTTACCCATCAAGAAGATAATGGACTGAACCTCTAAGACAGTAAACCAGTCTCAATTATAAGTTTTCCTTTACAAAAGTTGCTGAGGTCATGATGTCTCTTCACAGTGACTGAAACCCTAACTAAGAGATTCTGTTTTGAATGCAAATGGAATTGGAAAGTTTCTTACCCAGCAGCAAACTGTGAGGGTGCCATCAGGCCTGGGTTGAGTCCTGCAGCAGCAGCCATGGCAGCAAGACTGGCATTTGCTGGCAACTGTGCAGCTCCTTGGAGAGCAGCAGCAGCTGCTGTTTGCAAGCCAGATGCTGTCACCATCACCTGGCTGGCCCCGAGAGGAGAGGGAAGAGGCGTGGAGGTGGTCTGTGTTGTGCTGGTCTCACTGGCACTAGAGGCCTCAGAGGTGGAGGCTGAGGCAGAAGGGGAGGGACTCAAAGAGGGAGATGTGACTGCTGAGGAAGCAGGGGGTGCTGTAGAAATCACGGTGGCTGTGTTGTTGGATGTGGTGTCTGTAGTGCCTGAAAAGAGAATCAGATTAGGAAATGACCTTCTGTAAATGTGTTTGGAAAACTAGTCATTTCATTCAATATCTTGAATCAAGGCGATTATTAACCTACTACCCATTAATCCTTAATTTTTCGTTTTCTTAAGAATAACCTAGTTTTCTAGATATATTTCTACAGATAATAATAATGATGATAATAATAACAACCATTTAAAAACCAAAGCTATCAGTCCTTCTTTAAGAGACAAGAGCAATAACACAACTCTGAAAGAAACAAGCCTCTCCCCTCCTCCAGCATCATTGTTCTATTAAAAAAAAAGAAAAAAAGAAAATGAGGGGCTGGAGATATGGCTTGTTAGGTTAAGAGCATTGGCTGCTCTTGCATAGGACCCAAGTTTGACTCCTAACACTAACATGGAAGCACACAACCATCTATAACTCTAGTTTCAGGAGAATCTGATGCCCTCTTCTGGCTTCCAAAGACACCAGACACAATTATACCAGCGTTGGTATTATGAAGCCTAACCCCCTTCATTATGTCTTCATAAATCTACAGGACCAAACAGTGCCCTGTTGCTGTGGTGAACCTGTCTGGTAGACTCAAAAGTACTTCCCCAGTTGCATCCTCTTCTAAAACCTAGCCCCTTGTTTTACAGGAAGATAAATGTACTTTCTTATTTCTCTTCTACAGGCAAAAACGTTTCAATGTACTTTGAATCTTTTCTTGACCAATTTCCATTTTATGAAACCTAATTTTTCCGGTAATGTTAAGTTCTAAAACTGCCCATTTTCACAAAACCGCAAGTCTTGAGGTCAAAAAGCTTAAATTATTACACTTTCCTCTTCACTGCATAATCAAATAAATCAGCACCTTGCTATGTCTTGTAGGCTTACTAGGACAATACTAGCCAAATTAGTGCATTTAATCTAGGCTAGGAAGTGATGAGTTCAGAAACTATCCAGGGTTATCTAGTTGTAATATATTACCCAAATCCTAGGTAGGTATCTCCAATTTGAGTATCATGAAACCACTATGACATAAAATATCAACATGATCTTTAAATAAATCCTCCCAGCCATAGAGTCATGTTCTAATTCATATACCTCCTTTATGCTCCAAATTCTTGGCAATTTAATTTACCTGAGCACTCTACGCAGGCTTTTGGGGCCTTAGCACCCTTCACAAGATGGTCTCACATGTCTTACAGGGTACTTAGTAGGCATTAGATCCAAGCACAAGTAGGATACCTAGCACCTGTTTTCCACCCTTTTCTCTTTAAAAAAAAAAAAAAAAAAAAAACCCAGCTTATTGAAGTATAATTTATATTCTATAAAACTTGCCCAATTAAGTGTAAAGCTCAATAACTTTTTATCAATTTCCAGAGTTCTTTAACTCTCACACAATCCAGACTGTAACACTTGCACCACCAAAAATTGAGATCCCTCACTCCTACTTGTAGCCACTTGCCAACCCTATCCTGCCTCCACAGACTGGTATTATCTTTTAACATTTCACATACATGGAATTGAACAATATGTGATTTTGCGCATCTTAGGCTATTACTTTTAGTGTTTCACTACAGTGAAACAGAGTCAACACTTAGCTTTCTGAGGATGAATTCTACTCAATGGTGCAGATATGCTGTGTGAGCTTTGGCTTGTTTCCAGTATGGGGTTGTTATAAATATGCACACACAAGAGTTATGGTGTGGATATGTTTTCATCTTCTTGAGGAAACTGATTCACTGGATGATATATCTATATTTCTAACTTACAAAGAAAATGCTAAAGTGTTTTCCACAGTGACTGTACCACGTTACATTCTCCTACGTCATGCACTATGAACTGTAGTTTTTCTGATCCTCAAACCTCATCTATCTTTTGATTGCAGGCATTCTATGAAGTATGTTTTAAATTTCCCTAACAAGCAATTCTGTTGAGCATCTTTTTCCTGTGCTGTTTTCACTTGTGTACCTTCTTTAATAAAGTATCCACTTAAATGTTCTGGGCTGTATTTTTACTATTGAGCTTTGACAGTTTTTAGTATATTCCATATATTATTTCTTTTTTAAAAGACACATGTTCTTTAACAAACATTTTCTTCCAATCTTTGTCTTGTGTTTTCATTCTCCTCAAGATGTCTTCTATAGCACAACAAACTTTGTTTTTTATGATCTTCTATTATCTTTTGTGTTTGTGTGTGTATGAGTATAGATATCCACAGAGGCCCGAAGAGGACACTGGACTCCTTGGAGCTGGAGTTAAAGGTAGTTGTGAAATACCCACCAAAGGTACTAAGAACTGAACTCAGGTTCTCTGCAAGAGTAGCAAGTGCTCTTGATTGCCGAGCCGTCTCTCCAGCACTGATTTGTAGGTGATGTATCTATGAGTCCTTTGCAGTACAAAATCATAAAGACTGCCTACAATTTCTTAGAAGTTCTATGGATACATCAGTCATCTGATCCATTTTACTTGCCATGCAAAAGAACCTTAAATAGTCTTTGTGCATTTTGGCACCCAACTGTTGCAGAAACATTTGTTAGGGACTTTGAATTGTCTTAGCTATTTGTCAAAAATTAACAAAGGATAAATTTAAGCCTCCTCCCAATTGAGAGCTTTGTTTCATGTAATCTACTTTATGAACAGTTTATTCTTGCCTTGATTACTTGTATCTTTATATTTAGCTTTTGAAACCTGGTTATGTATATCCTCTAAGTTCATTCTTCTCAAGTTCTTTTCATATATATTTAAAAATAGATCCCCGTTATATTTATTTTAGAATAAGGTATCAGTTTATTGTTTGAAGTATGGCTATTGAATAGGAAATAAATCAATTAAGCTAGAGACAGACAAGTGTTGTTTTAAGAATGCTGAAATATGAAATGTCTCTTAGAAGTTAATCTCAGGCCAGAGAATAACAGCAAAATATTTGCCATACAAACATGAATACCATGTCTCATCCCTAGAAAGCATGTACACAAACACACACTTGCACACACAAGCACACAGTGTACACAATGCCAGGTGAGGTGCTGTGGGCTTTTTAATTCCAGTGCTGGGGAAGTGGTAACAAAGCCCTGGGGCTTGCTGGTCAGCTAGCTCAGCCAAATTAGTGAGAACCAGGTCCCAATAAGAGACTTGTCTCAGGGGAAGGTGGGAGGAGAAGGGAGGGCAGACAGAGAAGAGGAGGGGAGAAGAGGAGGAGGGAGAGAAACGGGCAGTCAAGATGGGGAAGGACAGAGAGGGAGAACATGGAAAGAGATTTCTTGATTGAGAGAAGCATTGTGGGGCTAGCAAGAAACCTAGAGAAATCCCAGGAATCCACAAGATGACCCCAGCTAAGACCCTAAGCAATAGTAGCGAAGGTGCCTGACCCTGTAGTCAAGACTGATGACTACCTTCACCCAGCAACTGATGGAAGCAGATGCAGAGATCCACAGCAAGCACTGAACTGAGCTCCCAAAGTTCAGTCAAAGAGAAGGAGAAGTGATAATATGAGCAAAGGGTCAAGACTACGATGGGGATACCCACTGAAACAGTTTACCTGAGCTAATGGGAGCTCACTGATTCTGGCCAGACAGCAGGGGGACCAGCATAGGACCAAATTAGGTCCTCTGAATGTGGGTGTCAGTTGTTTAGCTGGGACAGACTGTAGAGACCAGGATTTATCCCTACTGCTTGTACTGGCTTTTTTTTTTTTTTTTTTTGTAGCCATTCGCTTTGGAGGGATAGCTTGCTCAGCTTAGATATAGATATAATGTGGAGGGGCTTGGTCCTGCCTCAAAGCAATGCCCTAGACTTTGTTGACACCCCTTGGGAAGCCTTACTCCCTTTGAGGATTGGTGGGGAGGGAAGGTGGAGGGAGCGGGAACTGGGATTAGAATGTAAAATGAGAAAAGTTTTTTTTTAAAGAAAAAAAAATATATATATAGAGAGAGACTTGCCTCAAAAAAAAAAAAAAAATAAAGAGCTATCCTTAGGAGTAGCATTTGAGGACTGACTTCCAGTCTCCACATGCATGTGCATCAGCATACACGTGTAAACACACATGCACAAGAATTTAGTTTCAGCTACTTACTAGTTTTCTACATAAATTCTGCATAAATTATTTTCTTACTATCATTTTTGGACCACTTTCTTAGAGTACATACAAACACAACTGATTTCATATGTTGGTTTTGTATCACACAACAATAGGACAATGCGAATAAGGGCAGTTTAAGTTCTCCCCTTACTAAACTGGCTGTTACAATGTTAATGGTGAAACAAATTAAAAGATCAGGAGAACAAATGTCCTCAGCAGAAGCTATTAGTCTTTGGTCATTTAAGTATGCTTTTTGCTGCAGATTTTGAGTAGCTGCTCTTGATCTGTAGAAGCAGCTTCTTCTGTTTCAGGTCAAAGAGCTTTTATCAAGAATGGGTTTGGATTTATTAAATACTTTTTATTCAACTCTCCAGGATTTATCTCAATTCAATTTCTATTTCTATTTTTCAATATGTTAATTGGTGTTCAGATACTGAACTGACTATGTATTCTTGGGGTAAATTCCCCAGTCATGATGAATAATCTTCTTTTATACGTTGTCAGTTTTGATCTGCAAAGATATTCTTTTCCTTTCCCCTTCTTTCCTTCCCTTTCTCATTACTGGAGATTGAACTCAGGAACTTTCACATGACAGACAGGTGGTCAACAATTCTCAGCTTCATTTGCAAAGATTTAGTGGAGAATTTAAAATATTTTCATGAGGGCTATGAGTCTGTACTTTTTCCTAATGTATTTATCTAGCTTTTATATCAGAGCATTGCTTGCTTTGTTCAAAATAGCTTTCTCTTCTTTGTATTTCAAAAATATCTGATTAAAAAAGAAATTAACAAAAAGTTCCACAGAACACTATTAAAATCATCAGGGGTTGGGCTTTTATTTGTTAAGTTTTTAATTAATTATTGCTCAACTGCTTTTGGTCTATTGACAATCTGTTAGTTCCTAAGTTATATGTCATTTCAATCTACATGCTCTTTGTTTAGAGAGAAGTCATCCCAAGAACTCCAATTTGCCACATTGTACAGCAGTTCTAAGTATAAACCCTAAAGAACTGAAAATACATGCTCACACACAAACCTGAATATGAAATTCACAGCAGTAGTACTAAAAATAACTAAAACCTGCTACTACTTCAATGCTATTGACTCATAGATAGTAAACAAAATGCTGCACATCCACCGAATGGAATACCATTCAGCACTGAAAGGGAAGTACTTATATATTTTACAATATTGATAAAGTTAGAAAACACGCTAAATGAAAGAAGTCTGACACACTGAAAGGGCCACTTACTTATATGAATTCATTTCTATAAATGCTCAAAGTAGGCGATACAATGAGATAGAGTAGAAGAATAATGCCTGGATAGGGGGAGGAATAATAATTTACCGACTTATTCTCTGAAGTGATGGAATTATTCCAGTATTAGGTAATTATAACAGTTCCACATGTTTTCAGTATATCAAAACCCATTGAACACTTAAAATTATATACTAAAAAATGTGAGCTATAAGCGGAACATGTGCCTTTAATTCTAGCTATTTGGGAGGCTAAAATAGGATTGAGGTCAAGGATAGCCCCATCTCAAAACACAACAAAACAAAATCATGAACTATATCCTAATTATAACATTTTCATTATGTTTTTTGTTTGCTTCTGAGGCAGGTTCTATGTAGCCCTGGCTGTCCTGAATCTCATTATGCATACCAGACTGGTTTTGAATTTAGATATCCACTTGCCTCTGCTCCTGAGTGCTTGGATTAAAGATGTGGGACACCACACTGTTCTATTCTGGTTCTGTTAGTTACTGATTTTGATGATATTCATTGTTTTCTTTTTTCTTGATTGCAGATGAATTTGTTAATTTTTAGTTACATTGTTTTTCCCCTGACTTACTTCATTATTTTTTGCTGTAATTCTTGTCATTTGCCCTTTCTGCTTACATTGGGACTAATTTTTTCTATATGATGATTTTTAATTTTTTTTTTCAAGAAAGGGTCTCACTATTTGCCTAAGCTAGCCTTGCACTAATTCTCTTCTTGCCAAGGGTTACAGTCATAGGTATGCAGTTGATTCCTACTTGCTATACTCCCAGAAGCTTAACTGTTTCTCTGGTGTCTCTGTCAATGGGGACTGGCTGTCCTGATGACTGGCCCTCCCTGCTTGGATCACACTGCATCACTACTGCGTCTGTGATGCTTCATTTTCAATTTTAACATTTTTCTTAATTTCTTGATTTCTACTTTGGCATAAACTTCCAGTTTAATTTCCAAATATTTGAGGATACCACAAATATTTGTTGTTGATTTCCAAAAGGACAATACATATTACACAATTTTAATTATTTAAATTCACAGGGTCTTGACCATATGTTAATTTCCAAATAACCGAGATTTGTCAAGTTTTTTTTTTTTTCTCCTGTTGATTTCTATAAAGACAACATAGCAGGGTGTGGTGGCACACCTTTAATCTCAGCACCCATGAGGCAGAGGCAGGTGGATTTCTGTGAGTTTAAGGCCACCCTAATCTATATATTGAGTTCCATGTCAGCTGGGGTTACATAGTGAGACCCTGTCTTTAAAAACAAACAAACAACCCCCCCAAAAGTGGCTAGAGGGATGGTTCAGTGCTTAAGAGCACTGGCTGCTCTTCTAGAGGAGCCAGGTTCAATTCCCAGCACCCAGATTGATAGCTCACAAATATCTGTGACTCCAGTCCAGAGGCTGACTGCCTCACACAGACATACAGGCAGACAAAACACAAATGCACATAAATTAAAATATAGACACGCACACTCTATGATTTTAACCCTTTAATTTACTGAGCTGTGTTTCCTGGTTGAAAGTGTCCTGAAAGAAGGATGTCCCAGGTAAACGTGAAAAGGTAGTTTTTACACAGGCATGATAGCTAGGTCAAGTTGGTTGATAATTTTCAAGTATTGCATATCTTTGATAATATTTTGACATAGTTCAAATTAATCATTACAAGTGGAGTATTGTTGAACTATCCATTTCTTTTAATTCTGTTCATTTTTCCTACCTGTATCTTGGACCTCCATTGTTAGGTAACTAATTCAAATTGCTACTATCTTCCTGAGAAATACATTTGCATCATTATGAAACATTTTAGAAAGATAACTGGAGACAGAACACTCATAGGTGACTGTAGTTTTGCGGTACTTCTTTTTGGAGGAGTGCTATCTTATATCCACTCTAGGAATGTTTGCCAGGACTGTTTATGTGCTAAGCACATGAAAAAGTGAAGACAAATACATCATTTAGCAAGTAGCCAGCAGTGGTGGAGCACACCCTTAATCCCAGCACTTGGGAGGCAGAGGCAGGAGAATCTCTGTGGGTTTGGGGCCAGCCTGGTCTACAAAAGAGCTAGTTCCAGGGCAGGCGCCAAAGCTACAGAGAAACCCTTTCTGGGGAAAAAAAAAAAATCACGTGTTTTATTATAAAGTGGTAGACGGAGAAAATATTTTTTCCATGTTTCTTAAACCCCATTCCAAATGGCATTAAAGAAACATACAAAGGAATGAGAATTCCAGGGATAGGAAAGAGGACAAAACGGGTAGTGGTAGAGAAACCAATCATAGGACAGTTAGTGAAGGAGAAGGTTATGATTGAGGTGGGAATTAATCCCTTTGTTGGAGCTCCAAGAGAAGTACAAACTCAGAGTTGCCATACATCAAGGCAGGAGAAGGAGAATGAAGAAGACTGATTATTATGGAACTGTTCATACACTAGCTCTGGCAGTGGGCTTGCCCATCTGTCTTCAGATCTTGCATATGAGCTGAGTTAATATTATCAACTACTCAAAGAAAAGAAAGAAATCCAACTGAGAAATTGAGGATTCAAGTGTAGGTAACAAGCAAACAAAGTACCTGCTTTGGTGAAGTGTTAGTGCACTGGGTAGCAATTTCCTCTGAGATAAGCCTCTACTGTGGAGTGAAGCTCGTTAAAGCACAGGGTGTTCTAAAAGGAGTTTACAAACAGTCCATCTGGTAGAGAAGAAGTTCTTTAAGCTCAGGAAGTAAACAACCCAAAGCTTTTAGAAGTCCCTAAAACTGACCAGATACACTAGGGCCCTCACAGCAAGCATATAAAAGAACTTGCTGAGAGACACTCAGTCAAGCCACCCAAAAGAAATAGAAATAAGCTGAGCAGCTTAGAGAGGACACACTGCAACCTGTCAAACTCTGCAGGCTGTGTACTACAGTCCACACTCCCAGCTTTTGTGAGTTGTCCCATGCTGGGGTGGGCTTTAGGTGATATAGCTGACTTTGAGTCATTTCTGTTCCTCTAACTACTCTCTCACCCATGTTCCTGTAAGAAACACCAAGTTGGACTCTGTGGTACCCTTACTCTGGTCTGTCATTAGTTTACAATCTAAGGTAGACAGATGTTTGTTCACGTCTTCTTCCCAGGAATAGTGTCACTAAGTTTTTAAAAACTGTGTATGCCTATTTTATGAGATGAAATTCTCAATGAGGCTTAACAGTCAAGAGTTCACAAAATGCTGTTTATATTACATAAAAACCTAACATTTTCTAATGGCTTAGAAAAATAGTATGAAGTCATCTACTGAATTTTTATGGCATGGTAAAGTCACATAACTGAAGAGGCATTATGAACCTAAAACATAAATTTATAAAGAAGTCTTTAACTCCAGATTAAGTTAAATTTGCTCATGAAATATCATAAAGCAATCTAATAGCTTACTAGCATATAATAAATAATTAGTATAACTTATGTATTATAAAAAATTTGATGACAATCCTGAATCATTTTAAATGCTTTGGGAAAGATTTTGTTCAGAGGAGGCCAAAGGAAAATATTTATTCATCTTATTATGAATATATCAGGCAATAAGCTGGGCATCAGAAAGAGCACAGTACTTCTTTAGAAGTAGACACAAAGGCACCAGGTTGATGGTGCACATCATTAAACACAGCACTAGGGAGGCAGAGGCAGGCAGATCTCTATGAGTTCGAGGCCAGTTTGGTCTACAGAGCTAATTTCAAGACAGCCAGGGCTGTACAGAGAAAATTTGTCTTGAACCCCCGCCCCTCAAAAAAGAAGTACAAAACCTATTGGGAAAGACAGATTTGTCAAAATAGATTGAATAATGAGTAAATGACAACTTTTAACTTCCTGGAGAAGGAGAAGATAAAGAATACTTCCAAGAGAATCTGATACATAAGCCAGAGTAGCTTATCAACATCACACCAAGAACTGAGCACTACGATGGGCATTTCAAGAGGCAGGAAATAATTACAGTGATATGGATGGAGTTTGCCCATGTGTTGGGTGGGGTAGGCAAAGGTCTAGTATAGAAGTGCTCAATACAAATGATTTTATATGTTTCTTTAAATGTAAAAAAACATTACTACTGAAGGTTTGCAAAGAAAGGAATCACCTAAATAAGGATGTTTCAAAAAATAAGTTTGAAAACAATGTAGGAGATGGGTTAACAGAAGAAAAAACAATTTTAAATGTTTTCCTTTTTTTTAGCTGGTCCAGTGGTGCACACCTTTAATCCCAGCGCTCAGGAGGTAGAAGCAGGTGTGATCTGAGTTCAAGGACAGCCAGGGCCTGGTCTTAAAATAACACACACACAGACACACACACACACACACAGATAGAGCATATGTGTTTGTATGTATGTGGAAGGAGGCCTGAAACTGGAACATCTGGCTAGCCTGGCTACCAGCTTGTTCTGGGGAATCTCTTTCTGTTTCCCCAGCACTGGGATTAGGGATGGGTTGCTAAGCCCACTTGACTTTTAAGTGTGCACTTTGTATCTGGACTCTAGTTTTCATGATCATGCTCACTGAGCAATATCCCTAGACCCCTAGAAATAGATTTTTTAAAAAAGCAATTCGTAACTTAAGTAGCACCTTCATTATTTGGTAGGCCTTCTACTTACCTGTAAGAGAGAGATTAGTCACTGCAGCGCTGGTTAAGGGAAGGACAGGGTTGACTGTGAGGGTAGTTGCTGTACTGTTTGTCACAAGGCTTGGAGTGGTTGCCACCTAGAGGTCAGATAAAAAGAAAAAAAATGCATGTTAACATAAGCAGAATTGAAATGGGCCTTAAATTTGAATAACATTGAGTCAGACAGACTACATAAAAATCAGCCAGAAATAGTATAACTGTCAAGATTACCTAAACAAGAGAACTATTTGGTAGCATCAGTGCTTATATTGTTTTTACTTTGATTTTGTGGCTGTATGATTGATTGTCTTGTTTTTATTCTTAACTAAATGGTAGAGAATGTGAAGCAGACTCTTTTTCTGTTTGTTTTTCCAGACAGAGCTTTTCTGTGTAGCTCTTGCTATCTCAGAACTCACTCTGTAGACCAGGCTGGCCTTGAACCCCAAGATCTTCCTGCCTCTGCCTCCTAAGTGCTTGGATTAAAGGAATGGGCCACCTCTGACCTGCTTTTTTTTTTTTTTTTTTAAAGACAATCTTATGGTGAGGTATAGTGGAGCACGCCTTTAACTCCAGAGGCAGAGGCGGACAGATTTCTGAGTTCCAGGTCAGCCTGGTGTACAGAGATAGTTCCAGGATAACACAATGAAACCCAGTCTCAAAAAACAAACAAACAAAAAAACAAAAAACCCACAAAACAAAAAAACTTAGTATGTAGCTGTAGCTAGCCTAGAACTCCCTTGACTAGGCTGGCCCTCAATACAGAGATCAACTTGCTTCTTCCTCCTGAGTCCTGAGATTAAAGGTGTGTACTGTTATTGGGGCCAGGGACCCAGGGTTAGACAGAGCATAGGCCCAATATTACTCGCTAAATGGACATAACATTAAACCAGCTTCCAAATAATTATCATTACAGATTAGTGCAACTCTCAACTTCATCAGACAAGCTCCTTTTAGAACTAGATGGAGATTACACAATAGGAGACTTAGGAACATGTGTTCCTAAAATGGACATCTACCCAGGCAGTGGTGGTGCACCCCTTTATTCCCAGCACTCAGGAGGCAGGGGCAGGTGGATCTTTGTGAGTTCAAGGCCAGCCTGGTCTACAAAGTGAGTTCCAGAACAGCCAGGGCAACATAGAGAAACCCTGTCCTCAAGAACCAAAAATCCAACAAACAAACAAAGAAAGGGAAATTTATACTACACCCACTCTTTTCAAGGCTCAGGGATCATTGCAGAAGAGGGAAAGGGAAGATTTTAAGATCCAGGGAAGATGGGTGATTACAAGAAAACCGTTTTCTTGAAAGAGAAGGGCACTGTACATATGAACTCATAGCAATTGTGACAGCATGCATAGGACCCACTAATAAAATCCCAGCGTGCAGGGAGGTGGGCATCAACTCCAACTCCTACCTGTGACATCTGTTGGGAGCAGGAGAGGTTTCTTTAAGGTGTGGCCATTGGTAAGTTAATCATACTCTAGTGGATAATCATACACCTAAGAATACATAGACAGCACAACTTGGTCCTGATGGCTTAAAAAAAAAGGGACACAAGTTGTGTGTGTGTATGTGTGTTTAGAGTTGCAGGAGTTGGGGAAGGGAAAACAGAATCAAGATATAGTGAAATTTTCAAAGAACTAATAAAAATGAGGTTTGTGTATATAACCAACGCTCAGCTCTAGTGAAGCAGATTTTCTTTTGGTTTTTCGACACAGGTTCTCTGTGTAGCCCTGGCTGTCCTGCAATTCACTCTGTAGACCAGGCTGGCCTCAAATTCAGAGATCCACCTCCCTCTGCCTCCCGATTGTTGGGATTAAAGGTGTGCACCATCTCTGCTCGGCTGTGAAGCAGATTTTAAAACACCTTAGCATTTCCTTTTGAAATATTATGATAAGCATCCTATGATTTTGTAAGACACTATCTTTTTCCTATGGTAGCTAAGCCTAAAAACAAAAGTCACACAAAAATGTTAGCTAATGACTATGATTTTTGTAATTAAAACTTTACCATTTAATAAGCCACAACTTTCACTTAATAAATAATGCTGACCTTAGTTTTAAAAAAAAAACCTTGTGGAGTCAGGCGATGTGCCACATCACCTTTAATTCAAGCACCTGGGAAGCAGAGGCAGGCAGATCTCTGTTGAGTTTCAAGTCAGCCAAGGATACACAGAGAAACCCTGTCTCAAAACCTTAAGGGGTAGCACTAACATAAAATAATATTAAAATAAAATAAAAGCAGATTAACAAGAACAAAAGGAACAAAAATGCAGACTTAACAATCTGTCCATCTTTTGAAGCCTGTCTGGCATCATCTGGCAGTGATCTATAATTATCCTAAAAGGAAGAAAATGTGAATGAGGGAGTCCTATGACCACGGCATGTCTCTTCCATCTAGGAATAACGTTCTAATGGGAATGAAGAAGTGACTCAATAAGGTTCTATATGAAATGCTGACCTACTGTCTGAGAGTGAAGATTTGAGATGACTATGCATACCTGAGAATTTGCTGTCACTTAATTATCTAAGTTTAGCCGGGCGATGGTGGCGCATGCCTTTAATCCCAGCACTCGGGAGGCAGAGGCAGGCGGATCTCTGTGAGTTCGAGACCAGCCTGGTCTATAGAGCTAGTTCCAGGACAGGCTCCAAAGCCACAGAGAAACCCTGTCTTGATAAACTAAAAAAACAAACAAACAAACAAAAAGAGTAGACATTTCATATATTTATTCAACATGTATGCTACACACACACACACACACACACACACACACACACACACACACACACACACCACTTCCTTAACAGTTATAGTTTGAATAATGATGGCTCCCATTGGTTCCTAAGTTTGAATTCTTGGTCCCCAGCTGGGAGTTAGGAAGGATTAGGAGGTGTGACCTTAGCGGAGGTGTGTCACTGGGGTGGACTTTGAGGATTCAAAAGACCATCCCATCAGCAGTCTCTCTCTGTCTCCTACTTGAGGATCAAAATGTGAGCTTTCTGCTGTCCCTATATTCCAACGTCAAGGACCCACCTTCTGAAAGTGTAAGGTGAAATTAGCTGCTCTTGTCAAAGATGCCATACTCATTCATGGCATCTTATTGCAGTAACAGACAGGAACTGAGACATCTGCTAGGAAATGAATTCCCTTAATAGGCCATTTGTAAGACTACAATTTAGCCTGTGAAGAGTTTGTCTCTTCCACACCCATTCTTACCAATGAGTTTGGACTGGGGAAAATTGCTTTGATAGGTGAGCTGCTGGTTCCACCACTGCTTGGTGGATTGATTCTTTTTTCCTTCTGGCGGCGGTTACAAAACCAAACACGAATCACCTCCTTTTCCATGTTGAGCTGTTCAGCAATCAAGGTGATATCTTCCGAGGTAGGCTTTTGATTCTAAGAGGGGGAAAAAAGTCCACCTTTTTAGAATTTCAATTTATATATTTGTCACATAGAAGATTGAATCCAGGGACAAATGCTCTACATCTGAATTATATCTCTAGAAAATCTTTTCTTCTCTTTCTTCGTCCCCTCTCCCCCAAGACAGGGTTTCTCTATGTAGCTTTGGAGCCTGTCTTGGAACTCGTTCTGTAGACCAGGCTAGCCTTGAACTCAGAGATCTGCCTGTTTCTGTCACCCTAGTAATGGGATTAAAGGCGTGCGCCACTTCTGTTTCTTCTTCTTCTTTTTTTTTTTAAAGATTTATTATGTGTGTGAGTGTTTTGCCTGTGTTTTTGTATAGTGTCTTCAGAGACCAGAAGTCAGTGCTAAATTTCCTGGACCTGAAATGGTTGTGAGCTGTCATGCAGGTGTTAGGAATCAAACCTGGACCTATGTAGACCAGGCTGACCTCAAATTTACAGAGATCCACCCAACTCTGTTTCCCAGGTGCTGGAATTAAAATGCCTCATTCCTGGCTAAGGTCGATTAATCTTAACAGTAACAAAAGAATACAAACTTACATATTACTAGCAATGTATGCATTTCTCAGTGCTTTTTGCTTACTACCTACCTTGGACCTTATACTATGCTTCTGAGGCAAGGAAAAAAGACAATTTCATAAGTGCAGCAATTTAATCTTGAAATCAAGTGAAGTGCCCCACCACACTTTAACAAGAAGCAAAACCAACAGACTCCTGAATCAGTTTCCTCAAGTAAACACAGCTCTATAGCTCTTTCATTTTGGTCGAATCCTTTTTTTTTTTTTAAAAGCCAGTATCTGTTTAATTAACTTGAAAGAACATTCAAGGTCATTAGTGTGGTGTCCCTAAAATACCATTCCAGACATTAAAGATGCTAAAATTGAGGCAACCAAACCACACGTGTTTCTTCTGGAACAGGTATGGCTTCCTCTGGAGGCCTATGCTCATGAAACTGCTCTGCCTGAGGTACTTTTCTCCCACCTTTTCCAGTCTGTAGGATTAATCCCACGCTGCTCCGACCAAATGCTCACGTAATTAGAACCAAGGTCTCTCTTGAGCCCTGCAGTATTCAAGTGTCAGTCGTACAGTATCTTACTTCCTCCATTTTAAGATGCCACCCAGGGCGGAGGAAGACAAGGCTATGCTTTAGTATCTACAGTCCCCCAAGAGTCACAACCAGATGCAGATGAAAAGTAACCTCACTGACCTCCATGAAACTCTTCTCTAAGGCCACACGGATGTTGGTCTCTATGCTGGTGCGTTTTTTCCTCCTACGATTCAAGCCCTCAGCCCCCAACCCTGGAGAATTCAGGGCACTTGGGCTAGATGCTGTAGAATCAGATGAGAGGTTCTCTATAAGAGTGAAGAAAATACAGGGAAACACAGCTGAGCTTAAGGATTCACATACAGAATATATATGAATAAAACTGACCAAATATTTAAGGCTTGATGTTAGTGCGACATTTGTAATATAATTCACACGGAAGCACTGCCCACTACCAATTCTGTACTGTCGTTCTTAGCACTCTCTGTCTCAGGATTACCTTTTGTCACCATTCATTTTTCGTTTGATTCTGAGACTACAAAGGCTCTATTTTTCACTCATATTTCCTTTAGTTCTGTTCTTTTGTTTGTTAATAAGCTCTGAGGATACAAAGGAAGAAAATTTTCAGAAATCATTGGATATTTAATTTCAGAGATGGTTTCTCAGTTTCTCAACATAATTCAAACATAGTAGGGGAAGAGTACTTCTAAGTTCTTTAAAGACAAGAGGGTATTGTTTCTTAACAGCTGAACAAGCCAGGGCATAGTACAGTAGATTTCTTTCTACTGCATATAAATTGAGATGGAGCATATCAGTGGTTCTTGCCTGTGACTGAAAAAACAACAACAACAACAGCAACAGCTAGCTAAAACTTCACCCCTATGCTAGAGGTGTGGGAGTGTCTCAAGTTCTTTTTATCCAAAGGCCTAAATTTTGTATCTATCTACAATAGAAACAACATGGTTAGGCATCTTTGTGGTTCCTTTTTAGCTCCTGAAGTCTATGATTATGTTACTCAAAATTCAAAATTTCTGCAAGGATATCTCAATAGAAAATAAATAATTCAAGACCAGAAGCCTAACTTTTTTCTATGAAAGGTGACTATTTTAAACAAAAGTACAAATATTACACATTCTTTGGCAATCTATCAAGGAAGGAACAATCTGTCTTTCTTCAAGAATCATACAGAGAGGCCTTATCCTCATTCTCAAACCCTGTATGTCCATCCCTAACCCTGACTTAAATACAGAAACATTAAGAGGCTACAATTATTGCTTGTTATTTATGTGGCAATTACTGGAATATTAAGATGAAATATCTCTCTGACTTACATAATCATAATTTATAAAAGTCTCATAGGATTAGTGGCTTCTACATTCTGTTTTATCAGCAATATAGTAAAGACCTCAGTTCACAGAATAATCCCTCCTGTAAAATCCTACGGACAATAAAGAAATTTCTTAGAATTGTCACTTACCTGCATCATTTAGCCACTTCTCTAAAAGTGGCTTTAACTTGCACATGTTCTTAAAGCTGAGGTTCAAGGCTTCAAAGCGAGAGATGGTGGTTTGGCTGAAGTCATTTCCATATAATTTCCCCATAGCAAGCCCAACATCACCCTGAATAATGTAAAACAGAAAAGGGGAGAAAGGAAAAGAGATTCCGGTCATTTATGTTTCCAACTTCTACTCTGAAAGGCTACTCCAATAAACTGCTGCTCTAGGAAAACAATTAGCCATCTTCTATTTACTCCATTTTTCTATCAACTTTACCCCAAAGCAGAGCCCAGAACTCTAGGGAAATCTCAGCAGGGCCCTGATTACAGAAGTCTTCAATATTACCTTAAGGGCTTTTCTATTTTTAGTCTCTTCTTGTTACCGTATATAATTATAATCACCATACCAAATTCTCAGTCTTCAAAGTTCTGATATACTAATGCCTCTCCATTAATACAACCAAAATAATCTGAGTATCCTTTTAAATCTATCTGTGTCACTTATAGTGATTAGATATTTAGATAGCCCAGCAAGTTATTCTTATTCTTGCATATTCATTCACTCATTTATTCATTTCATGTATGTGCGGACACGAGTGCCATGGTGCCCGTGTTGAGGTCAGAGGACAACTGGAGGGAGTTTGCTCTCTCCTTCTACCATGCAGGTACTGGAGACTGAGGCCAGATCACCAGTCTTAACCAGGAATTTCTCAAGCAACCACATTTCATAAAAAATCACTTCAAAATTTAGAAATGACCCTTCATTCTTTATAGTTTTCCTCATAAGTATTTCTGGAAGCTGTGAAAAAAATCTATTTTCACTTAGTTTAGATTTCAAAGTTGGCCACAAAAGTAGGTATTCTAAAAGAACACGTTTGTAGCCATTATAGAGACAGAAATTCACAGTAGAGAGGTTTGACCCATTTAGTTAAACCTTCATAGGCACTGGAAACTTGGTAACCTTACTGAAACAGAAAAATGGTCCTCTGAATATATTACAAAAGATGCCTTTTCTCCATGAGTCTATCACCTTTGAAATGTACCCAGTGCTTTTCTTCCAGCTGGCTTTCTCTTGTTCTAGTTTTAAAAAGATGTATCTTAATAGTTATTTTATAGATAACAGGAGAAGCTCATGGAGTTTAAACAACTCACCCCACCATTTCAACCAGATTAGTGACAGGGCAAAAAGTACAGCATCTCTCATTCAAAATATGCACAGATAACAACTGTGAGACTCAACTCTCAACAGACCTGCAACATTATTTTTAATTAATAATTTTTTTAGATTTTTACTTATTTTGTGTGTATGAATCTTTTGGTTTTATGTATGTATATATAACACATGTGTGCAATGCCTACAGAGGTCAGAAGAAGGCATCACATCTCCTGGAACTAGAGTTACAGATCACTGTGAGCCATTAAAAAGAAGCTGGGAACTAAATTAGGTCCTCTACAAGAACAGCAAGTGCTCTTAACCAATGAGCAATCTCTCTAGCCCCAATCTGTTGAGCCCAGAACTGACTTTGAATTTGTGAGCTTCCTGCCCCAGTTTCTCAACTGCCAGGATTCTAAGCTTGTGCTATTATGCCCTGGCTTTAGGAACATAACTGAGTTGGGATTATCTGAGTTCTTTTAATCTCCCAGATCCAAATTTTTGAGATCAGATTGTCTATTATATGTGGAGTCAAAGAAAAGATGTATTTAAAAGCAGTTAAGTGTGGTTTTCTTCATTTTAATTTACTACTACTACTACTATTATTATTTAAATAGAGGTATCATGAAGCCTAGAGTGGCCTTAAATTTGTTATTTAGCTGTACCTGGTTTGAACTCCTGATTCTTACTTACAATGCTATACATAGCTTCCCAAGTGCTGAGCTTATAAGCATGTGTCAAGAATCTAACTATGAATACCTTTCACTAAGAAATTCAAGACAAATGTGGAACTATAATATAAAATGAAGTATACCGAATATTTAACCTCAAAAGCTATATACACTTGCCTGCCATTAGTCACTACTTATAAGTGACTGCTTAAATTTAAATTGCAGAAAAGCAAATAAATGAACATTTACCTTCTCAGCACTACTACCCTTTCAAGTATTCAGTAGCCATTAGTGGTGAAGGTACTGGGCAACACAAATCAAAGACTTTTCAATGTAGGCTTTGAATAAGTAGAATTGAAGTAGAATATTAATCAATTTCCTTCTAATTACAGTAAAATTTAAGAGAGCCAAGGTAGAGTGAAGAGGGGCAGAAATACTATTGTTTTTATACAAATGTATCTAAAGATATGGATAGATGAATTAATCTTCATTTATATATTTATTATTGCCACTCCATTCTGTGAATGAACCATCAAACCGTGCCTACCACATGCCAGAGACTCAAATTACACTTTATGAACCACATATATTTGTGCCTTCATCATTTTGTTTTGATTATGGCTTTCTATAAATCTGGGGCTAAATAAAACATGGAGTTTTTTGAGTATGACATTAAGTGACAATAGATGTTTCTGACACCTTAACTACATATTTCACTAAATATTTTCACAAATGCCTGCAATATTCTACTTTGAAAACTAACGATTTTGACAAGTAAGCATAAGGAAAATGCTTATTAAAAACCACGTTATTATTTTAAGTTTAAGGAGCAATAACATAAGACTAGGAAGGCTCAGTCAGTGAGTCCTTGCTCCATAAGCATTAACAAATTTAGGTCCCTATCACCTTTAGAAAATGCAGATAATGTGCCTGTAATCCCAGCACTGGAGATACAGATATGCAGAGATCTTTGTAGCTCACTAGCCAGCTAGTATAGTTAAATTTCTGGCCTCTGTAGGCAGGCCTCCCCGCCCCCTCCAACCACCAATAATGTAAGTTGTCAGCTATAAATAAAGTTGTTACCAATCCACTAGGAACAATAGCAGTAAAAAGCAAATTCACTTAATGGAGATTTGTAATACAATTTCATTAAATTTAGGATTATTTTAAACAATAAAAAGCAGTAGATACTGTAGTAGTTTGAAATATTTGAATGACTTAACCCCAATTTGTGGAACTGTTTGGAAAGGATTAGGAGGTGTGACCTTTGAATTTTCAAAAGCCCATGCCATTTCCAGTTAACTCTCTCTGCCTCTTAGTTGTATCTCAGGATGTGATCTCTCAGCTACTGGTCTACTACAAGGACTGCCTGCTGACATGCTCCCCACCATGTTGGTAATGGACTCACATTCTAGAACTTTAAGTCCCAATAAACTTTCTTCTATAAATTTCCCTAATCATGATGTTTCTTCACAGCAATAGAAAAATAACAATAAAGAAGTTGGTACCTGGAAGTGGGTTTTCTGGAAGCATGTTTAAGACATTAGGACTGTTGATTAAGAAAGTGGTTCAACGCTGTAAGTAGGGTCATCCTTGAAAGGAGCTCGAAAGACAATAGTAGTAAGAGCAAAGTGGGCAACGGAGGCCCAGCTCAAGAGGTCTCAGAAGGGAACAATATTAGCAACTAGGCTGTAGGTGATTCTTGTGAAATTTTGGCAAAAAATGTGGTTGCTTTTGCCCTTGTTCTAAGAATCTGTCTGAGGTTAAATAGAAGAGGTTTTAGACTGATTTTATAGGCAGAGGGGATTTTCAACACAGCTTAATATTGATTCTGTCATATGGTTATTAGTGATCATTCTTATACAGGTCTATAATAAAAAAGAAGAGCAAAAGGAAATATAAGACGTACAGTTTGAAAAGAAAGAGCACCAGGAAATTTAATGTTGGAGCCAAGGTTTGTGATGAAAAAAATAAGGAAAAATGGAATAAAGGGAGTAGTAGCCTTAGAGCAAGACTCCACCTAGTAAAGCCTGCAACTTGTAAAAACAAAAGGCCTAAGTAAGGAATTAATTTGTTCCTAAAGAGTAACAACACATCAAAGCTTATGTAAATTAATTCAAGAAAAGGCCACATTCCAGTACCAGCAGGCAGAAGAACTTGGCAGCACTGGCCATGTTGTTCTACCTTTAGAGTAAAAAAATTATGTAACAATAAAGGTGTTGTGGAATCTATCATGAGACAAAGGAAAGCCACTGAGATATCCGAGATAGAGGAAAGTTAATGAAGCCAGGCATGGGACAAGAGTCCCTGTATGGAAGCCTAAGAAACCATTGCATGAAGTCATCAAAGTGAAGCCTGAAATATGTTGGAGACCTTAAGATATTGGAGATGTCATAGCCCTGGATGTCTGCCAAGGAGAGCTGTACACAGGGAGTAGAATCAGTCCGATACACACAGAGAGAAATGTATTGCAGTCAAACAAAGCTGGAAGTAGTAGAAAATGTGAAGAACCAACTGAGCCCTTTGACATTAAACTTGAAAACTGATGGTTTTCAAGTCCTTGCTCTCATCCTGCATTTCCTCCTATTCTTCTCTTTCGGAATGCTTAATGTATATTCTATGCTATTATATGTTGGAAAAATGTAATCTGCTTGTTGGTATTACAGGTGGTTACAGATTGGGGGTAGCCTTGAGACTCACAAGAGGCTTTGGACTTTGAAATAGCCTTGAGATTCAAAGACTATGGGGACTTTTGAAGTTGGAAGAAATGTATTTTGCTTTATGATATGACTTACAAGCCTGGGAGGGCCAGGGAATAGAATATGATGGTTTGAATGAGAATGTCCCCCACAGGTTCATATATTTGATGCCCCCACCCTTACACACACACACACACACACACACACACACACACACCTGCCTGCCTGTACCATGCTCCCCACCATGATGGTCATAGTTGCCTCAGTTATGGTGATGTTTCACAGCAATAAAAAGTTACTATGAGAGGTCCCTCACTTACTATGCTAATTTTCATTAATTTGGTACATCTTGGTTTAGTAGTAGTAGTATAGTTCTTGGGATCTTCATACAAGTAAGCGGTTTTAATCAGTTGATTTCAACATATATAATATAAACTATATTGTATCCTTTTGACCTTTACTAAACAAGTTGAACAAAAGGAGTGAAGGAGCAAGGGGGCAGTGAAAATAATGAATCAATGTACTGCATCTGAAAAATACTATATACTACAATATTATTTCTAATAACGTAATGACATATATTACTTACCCATTGTTTATAAAGAAATGATAAACACATGATGGAGGAAGGTCATTGGTTAATTAATAAAGAAACTGCTTGGCCCTGATGGGTTAGAACATAGGTGGGTGGAGTAAACAGAACAGAATGCTGGGAGGAAGAGGAAGTGAGCTCAGATGCCAGGCCGCTGCTCTCTGAGGCAGACGCGATGAAGCTCTGGCCTAGGATGGACATAGGCTAGAATCTTCCCGGTAAGCGCACTCGGTGCTACACACATTACTAGAAATGGGTAATCAAGATGTAAGAATTAGCCAGTAAGAAGCTAGAGCTAATGGGCCAAGCAGTGTTTACATGAATACAGTTTGTGTGTTGTTATTTTGGGGCATAAGCTAGCCAGGCAGCCAGGAGCCGGGCGGCAGGAACGCAGCCCGTAGCTCCTTCAACAAACACATAATTAGAAAATAACCACTTACAATATGCATCTAATCAAAGGATAGGGATTTAACTCAAGAATTAACCTGAATACTGTATATATATAAATACGAATAAACTGAATACATAGCTCCTTTTGAATAATTACAATAAGGTACATGAACTAAAAACAAAGTTCAGTAGCTAATTTTCCCCATCTTGTACCAGCATTAAGTACTCTCATACATGAAGCAAGATTTGCAAACCATTCCCAGTTCTGTATCAGCCATTTTGAAAAATAAGTAGTAGTAGTCATCTAAAAACAACACAAATCATAAAACAAAGTAAGCTGCTGGGGTGGAAGTATAGTGTGTATGGGGGCAGGTGGGAAGAGGAAGAATGAGAAGTGGGGAGAGGAGAAAAAGGGAGGGAAGGAAGGAAGAGGAAGGGGAGAGGGAGGGATTGATTTCCATCCACTCATTGGTCATATATTGAATCAAATGCCACAAAAAGTGAAAAGGGAAAACAATATTTGATTAAAGGTAAAGATTTTTGAAAAATCTAGTATCTTTGATTTAGCATTTATGCAACTGTTTATCAAAGAACCCCAGAGTGTAATGTGTTAATAGCCAAAACCTAGCTACCGTTAAGCATTCTTAGTCTATTAATTTATCTCTATCAATCTAGTTTACCTTTATTTCTATGTCTAAAACAAGTATCATTTAAGTGCTTCAAAATTACTAAGATATTACTGAATTGTAATTAAAAGTTTATATTTATCTATTTTGTGTTAAGTGTTTAGGTGTGTGCAGATGTATCTGTGTATGGGTGCACCATGTAGGTTCTGGGGATCAAACTCAGATCATCAAGCTTGGTGGCAAGCACCAGCTCCTTATTTTGTTTCTTTATATCTGAAACTCCTCAAAAACCTAACTGTAGTTCATGTAAAATTGTATCTATTTTAAATTCCTAATATACAGTTTCTCTGAGCAAAAATAAATCTTCAAATACAAGGAATAAAAGAAATCTAACAACATCTAGATAGAATACAATAGACAGTGAAGTCACCTTGATTTTTGATCTACCAGAGCAGGTGGTGTATTATGTACTTTCAACACAACCTAATTTAGAAAGCATATGAATGGAAGCTTTTCTGGAAAGAAAACATCAGTTTTTCCTGATTCTATAAATATACAACTCAATCCATACTTCAAGATTTTTTTTTCAGCTAATGATCTTTAGCCATTTTACATAAATAAAAATTTAATTTCTTTCCTGCTCTCAAAGCATTGTTTTTGACAGGCTAATTAGGGAGTATGGTCAGAGTCAGCACTTAGAAAAAAAATGCTGTGTATCCAAATGCTTGCTTAAGGCATTAAAAGCACACTCATTTCACTTTTTCAAGCCTCTGCTAGCTGACATGAAAAGATTTTAATTTTGATTAATTTACTTAAAAAAAAAATCTCCAATAGATTCGTACTCGACTAATCTTAGTGTAGATTAAAAGGAGGGGGAGCACTCTCTATCCCCAAGCTAACTTTAAATAAATCTTTCAAGACTTCAGTCCCTACTCTTTCCACTTTACATATGTGTAGTGTAAGCTCTATCACTACATGTTCTTTAACAAAATCCTTAGCATAGTCATGTCCCCCTAACAAGGTCTACTAAAACACATTTTACTGATACAATTTCAGAAGCCTGTGTTGTGAAACATACTTGGAAATTTTTAGCCTAATATTATATTACAAATAAATGTATGGACATAACATAACCAAATGCACAATATTCTAAAACTGTAAATGTTAAACTCAAAATCGATATGACCAAGAACATCCAACTCCTCAGAAAGTATTCACAGCCAGCCTCAAAAGATTGTAATGGTAAAATAGGTTGTCAAATGGGACAGATCTGGAAAAAGGGAATTTTAATTGAACAGTTACCTCTATCAGATTGGCCTTTGGGTATATCAATAGAGCATCTCTCTCTCTCTCTCTTTTTTTTTTTTTTTTTTTTAAATATTATGTATACTGTGTTATGCCTGCAAGACAGAAGAGGACACCAGATCTCATGAGCCACCCTGTGGTTTCTGAGAATTAGACAGCCAGTGCTCTTAACCTCTGAGCCATCTCTCCAGCCCCAATAGAACATTTCTTGATTGTTAATTGATATAAGATGGGCAGTGCCATCCCTGGGAAGGTGGGCCTGGGCTGTTAAGGACAGTGGAAAAAGACAGCAGTGTTCCTCTACGCTTCTGCTTCCCTCACTGATGAGCAGAACTGAAAGCTGAATAAAGCTTTTTTCTCCACAAGTTGATTTTGTTAGTGTTTTATCACTGCAACAGAGAGTGAGCTAGATCAGAGGTCATCCTACCTGAGTGAATCCAAGTTTGATTCGTCTTTGTTTGAAGGTCTTGGCAAATTGCTCAAGCTCCTCAAGGTCACTGGGCTCCTCCAAGCTGGGAGTATCAATTCGCTTTGGTGTTGTCTGGCTCTGTGGAAGTGTCTGAATTGGGGTTGCGGCTATTGTGCGAGTTGGGGTGGCTGGCTGTTGGACAAGGAACAGAATAATAAAGATACAACCTGATAGCTGTAATGTACAGGCAACTTAAGAAAAAAGAGTCACATGATCCCAAGTCAGACAAAATCCTAGCATGGAAGAGAGAAAGTGGGCATAGAGTCCCACTCCAAGCTGAGGAGTTATTAGCATTTGCTGCAAGGAGAAAGCCAGTTTTCTTCAATGAAGTGACACCTGGTATATTGGCCAGGCCCAATGCTTAATTAGCTACTCAATACAACCTGGGCTCCATGGGATTTTTTAAGTTAAAAAATAGTAAGGAACAGCGAAAAAGAACATGAAGTTGGGTGTATATGAGAACATGAATTTGGGTGAGTTTGGCTGTGGGGGAGGAGTTGGGAGAATGAAGAATATGATCAAAATACAACATATAAAACTTACACATAAATACATAAAAAAGATAGTCTCAAGAAATGCAAATACAAACAAAGAAGTATCTTCTTCTCTACCAATTAAAAAAGAAAGGCTCTTACTCTGTAGCCCAGACTGGCCTGGAATTCACTATGTAATTTCACTGCCTCAACTTCCACAGTACTTGGGTTAAACAGGTACTACCACCAGCAGTAAAAAAAAGTTCTTTAAAATAAATTTATGAAAAACTTTTCTGGCAACTAGGTAAATAATGTCATGCTTCCAATAAACAAGATGCTGTGATTCACCACATGACACACAGTTTTTGACAAAGGACTTGTGTTCTCAGTTTAAAACAGCATTCTGTTCATTGGCAAGCAAACGGCACGTCACTTCTGACATAATACTTTTCTTTACAATACTCAAAACAAGACACTTTCCATGTATCAATTAGTACCTGTATTCCCTTGTACTGGACTTAGGTCTCAATCATATATTAATGATATCTTTATTCTCACTCTTACTTTAGGTCAGCTCTTCAAATATTATGGTATATATAACCTTTTCTTATCATATTAGTACAAATAATTCAATCAGCTTTTAATTTTTTTCAGTGTGTATAAAATTCTGTGGACTTTCCCCCATTGCTACTATCTTGCTTTGAGAAAGAAAACTAGTTATTTCTCAGTGATGAAATCCCTTCTGGTAAAAAAGAAAAATTCTTCCCAAGAATATGACACCTTATTTTTTGCACTTTAACATAATTTATTTTATTATTTTAGGAAATGAGAGCATAGTCCTGTTATTCCATCATGCTACCCCTTGTGCTAACAACTAAGTCTGGGATTCTCCTTTCTTTTTTATTGTATTTTTTTAAAATTTTTTTTTATTTTATGTTTGTGCCTCAATGTATAGCTGTACACCATATACATGCAGTGCCTGCATAGGCCAGAAAAGGGTTTTGGATTCACAGGAACTGGAGCTAAGAGACAAATGTATTAGAAATCACACTCATGCCCTCTGGAAGGCAGCCAGAGGTCCTAACTACTGAGCCATCTCTCTGGTTCCCTTTTTTAAAGAAAATACTAAATTTTCTTATCATTAAAACACTAGGCTCCTCTTCAACTTACAAGTGTTGGGTAGAACCTTCCTTCTGAGGGTTCACTAATAGAGGTGCTCCTGATTCTGCATCCTAATTGCCCAGCTGAACCCTCCCTCCTATGAACAGCAGCCCAGGTGAGATTATAAACTAGGATTTTCTTCTTGTAATTTAGATGGGCCTTATATTACCTGACCTTGACCTCATTATTAATGCTTGCTCCAAGGGAACTAACTGACCCAGAAAACTACTTAAGAGGCATGACATAATAATTGGGGCAAATTTCTCTGCTTTCTTGCTTTAGGAAAGTCATTAAAGCATGTTTCCACAACATGCTGACATTGGGTAATTTTAATTCCACTTTTTGGAGGAACTACACATGACACCAAATATGTTATAATCTCACACTGCTGAATGCTGATAGGTAGAGGTGAGTCTCAACTATAACACTATTACTTCATCTTCAGCATCAAGTAGCCTCTTTGTCAAATCATAATGTACTAAAAACAGCTTGGGTACCTTTCAACAGCTGGTATCTTACTAAAATCCGTGGCCGAATTGGGCCAGATCTAGAATGGTAGTACAGCATTTAATGAGAAGAGTCAGGATGAAGTTTGCTAAATGTGCACAGCATATAGACCAGAAAGAGGTCTCTGGTGGGTATATGTCAAAACAGCAAATTTATTTATTTTGAATTGAGCATATTAAAAAACTTACCACTTAAAACTGTAGTATACAGTTTGATGCTTTTGCAGCTGAATATAATTGTGTAACTACAAACACAATATATAGATTATTTTTACCATACTTCCCCAAATTTCTTCTGAACCCTTTGTGATCAGTCTTCAGTGTCAATCCTTTCTTCCTGACAAGCACTGATAGGATTTCTATACCTATAGTTCTGTCCTGTCTAAAATGTTGTGTAAACTGAAATCATACAGTACTCAGTCTTTTAAGCCTAGCTTCTGCCACTTAGTATAAGGCTTTTTAAATGCATATGTGCCACTGTAGCTATTGGAATTACATTTCTTTTTCCTGCTGAATAGCAATCTGTCACATGGCTATTTGGAAGTTTATGCAATGTACTATCTGATGAATACATTAGGGTAATTATTAATTAATCTATTATAAGCACTCATATACATATCTTTGTGCTTTCATTTTAAAGAGTAAAACTACTGGGTTATAAAGTGCAGCTTGCTTTGTTTGTTTATTTTATGTATTTAGAGACAGGGTTTCTCTGTGGAGCTCTGTAGACCAGACTGGCCTCGAACTCACAAAGGTCTGCCTGTCATTACCTCACCAGTACTGGGAATTAAAGGCATGTGACACCACCCACTGGCTTCTTTTTTAAGTGAATGCCAAACTAATTTTGTAAGTGCCGTACATTTTGCAAAACTACTACTAATGTATAAGAAATCTAGTTGCTTTGCTTTTTCATCAATACTTGGTCTCAAATTCTTCATAACTGTACCCTGTCTAGTGAAGGCACATCCTCATTGGCAATCACCTTTTTTTCCTTCATTTTGCACTGGAATGTTCAATGACTGAGTGTATACTGCTCTTGAAGAGGACCCGAGTTCAGTTTCCAGCGTGCACACCGAGCAGCTCACAGCTGCCCGAACCTTCAGCACTAAGGGATTCAACAAGTTCTGGTTTCCTGGAGTATCTGAACAAACACCCCACTCCCATATTGATTACAGAATCATTTATCAAATATTCTATTTGAAGACTGTTTTTTCCTTAACTTTGGTTTTCTTCCCATTCTCTTAGATAAGTTTATTTTATTTGCATTGGTATTTTGCCTGCATGTATGTCTGTGTAAGGCTACTAGATCTTAGAGGTATAGACAGTTATGAGCTGCCATGTGGGTGCTCTGGAAGAGTAGGAAGTACTCTTAAATCACTGAGCCATTTCTCCAGCCTCTTAAGATGAATTAATTTTTCTGAAATTTATTGTTTCTTCTATGGTTAAGGCTTCTTGTGTCTTGTTTAAGAAAACACTGCTTTACCGAAAGGCATGAACATTTCTTTGTAAAATTTAGGTTTATGACTCATTTCAAGTTAATATTTGTATAAGATATGAAATAAGAATGGTCTCCACCCCCTTTTGCTTATGAATAGTCAATTGTTAGTTATTATATATTAAAAATACTTTCTATTTCCACTGGAATCCTTTGGTGCCTTGGAAACTTAGTTTGCTATTTACATTTCTGTCTATTGGACAGATATATCCCTTTGGCCTACATTTATTTATATATGCCAATACCATGTATTCATTATTATGGTTTTGTAATAATTCCTGACATCAGATGGGATCTAATTTTCTACCTTTAATAAATTGTTTGGCTACAAGAGTCAGTGGTTAATAGCAAGTAACTGGCTACTAAAGCTATGAGTCAAAATAAACCTTTGACTTTTAAATTATTTTTCTCAGGTATTTGTCATAGTGACATAAACAAAACAAAACAACAACAACAAAAAACCCCCAATAACCAAAAAACTAATCCCTTGCAAAATGACCAAGATGGAGAATTATTATAAATAGTTAAACCTGTGAAATTAGGTAACATATTAAGTTTTAATTATATTTTTTATTTTCATATTTGTGTGTATGCAAGTATGCATACACGTGGATACATATACATCCATGTGTGTTTGTGTGTATATGTATGTATGTATGTGTGTGTGTGTGTGTATATATATGGAAGGCAGAGGCTGATGAAGCGATCTAACTTGATCACTCTTCACTCAAAGCTTGGCAATAGGCTAGTTTCAAAAGCCAGAATGCTTAGGAGATCTCCTGACTGAAACTACAGGTGAGCCACCACGCTCACTCAGCATGCATTTAAGTGGTTCTTAGGATCTGATCTCTGATCCTCTTGTTTGCTCAGCAAGAACCACTGAGTCGTTCATTCACTCTCCTCCTCCAACTTCTACACTTTAGAGAGTCAGGACAAGGAAGGAGGATTCAAGGTCAGCCATTAGGATGAGGAAGGAGGCAAACTCACCACAGTCACAATCACCACTAGATAAAAAGACAAACATGGAAATTAAACTTGCAGATGCCTAAGAACTGTGCTTTCTATATGATTACGATTGTTAAGTCTTCTGAGGAAATGACATAAAATAACATTTAAGTACTGAAAAAATATAGAAATCCAAGCTCCTTCACTGTTTTAGCAAAGACAAAGGAACAATGACAGGTTTTAATTTAATTCCTAGGCCTTTCATTTCAGTGTTCAGACAGCTATAATTCATCCACATTTACTATCTACATGGCTATTCTTTATGAACTTAAAAAAGGACAACGAAAAATAACAGTCTCCATCAATTTGGTAGTACTGCTTTATCAAGCTAATAAGGCCAGCACTGAGTTTTTGGTCAGCTTCTAAACATCTGAGACTGCTATTACTGTGGGTGTTTCTGTTTCATTTTTCAATTAGTAAAACAATAGAGTGAGAAAACTGACCTGGGAGGTGAGGGTGATGCTTGGCTGTGGCTGTAGGAGGTTGGCTTGGCTTTGCTGAGGTAGTTGCGTTAAAAGATTTTGCGCTTGCAGGAGACCTGTGAAAACCAAATTATTTCAGGAAGATAAAAAAAAGAATATAAACTCAAAGTTTCCAACTGGTTTCCTGGTAGTTTTGTTGGTCTTCAGACTCATCTAATTCTCTGCCTAAAATTCAATACTGTTAACATGCTAAACACAAGATGGCATGAAAATACATAACATCAAAGCTTGTGTATCTTTTGTGTAATCTGAGTAAGTTCTCTGAAAGGCTTTTACTTCCTAAAAGGAAGAATATGAGAAACTACTCTAAATGAAAGGATCTGGAATTTTAAATATGAATTTAACTTCTTAACTCTGAAGTCATTAGAATCCTTTATCATAGTGGTTTTCAATCTTCCTAATGCTATGACCCTTAATATGGTTCCTCATGTTGTGGTGACCCAACTATAAAATTATTTTCATTGCTACTTGTAACTTTGATACTGTTCTGAATCATAATATAAATATCTGATATGCAGGATATCTGATATACAATCCCCGTGAAAGAGTCGTTTGGCTCCCAAAGGGGTGGTGACCCACAGGTAGAGAAATGCTGCTCTAAGGAATCTTGGGACAGGGAATCTGTTTCTGAAAGAAGCAGGCAATCCTGTAAGTGGAAGAAGATGCTGTTTTCAAGTTCTTAGCACATGCCACTTCGGTGACAATAAAGGTGAAATATAAACAACCATCTTAGTTTCAAAGTTATTGATAAGTAAAATGAGTATAAATGGGCATGCCTGTAGAACCAATTCCTCTGGAGGCAGAGGCAGAAGGGTCACTTAAGCCCCGAAGTTGGAGGCCAGGCTGGACAACATAATGAGAATTTGTTTTGAATCCCTGAAGTATTTGTAGTACATACTCAGTTGATTATTTAAGCCTATAGGATTTTGTTGTTGTTTGGTTTTCTGCAATGTTATAAATACAGGGGCAACCCAGAATAAATTTGTATTAAAGAACTTACTCTAAGAACTTAGTTTCAAATATAATCATGTTGAAATATTAAATATAAGGTTATGATGAGTTAGGAGCAGAGGCATAATGAGAGACAGTAAGTTACAGTGGGTTAACTTATCTTTCTGATTTTCTTAGTTACTAAATTTGGATACAGTGAAATGTGTAAAACAATAATAAAATTAAACCTGTCAGATTTTATCATCTGTTTGTAAGTAAGCAAACACTGCCTAAATTTAAGAAATTAACATAGGTGTTTATTTGACGATGTAGATCTCCAATACAATATGTTAAATAGATTTGGATTTTCGAGATTTTCTTTTGGTTATATTATGAAGCAACTATGCTAAAACTAAGTAAATTGAATATACATGGTTGGTTACAAGCTTCTCTTGCTGGTGGGAATGCAAGCTGGTGCAGCCCCTTTGGATGTCAAGTGTGGCAATTTCTCAGAAAATCAGGAAACAACCCTCCTCAAGACCCAGTAAGTAATACCACTTTTGGGTATATACCCAAAGGATACTCAATCGTGCCACAAGGACATGTGCTCAACTATGTTCATAGCAGCTTTGTTTGTCATAGCCGGAACCTGGAAATAACCTAAATGCCCTCGACCGAAGAATGGATAAGGAAAATGTGGTACATTTACACAATGGAGTACAGTAACACAGCAGAAAAAAATAACGACATCTTGATTTTGCAGGAAAATGGATGGAACATCATTTTGAGTGAGGTAACCCAGACCTAGAAAGACAATTATCACTATACTCACTCATAAGTGGTTTTTAAACATAAAGCAAAGAAAACCAGCCCACAAATCACAATCCCAGAGAACCTAGACAACGATGAGGACCCTGAGACATACACAGATCTAATCTACATGGGAAGTAGAAAAAGACAAGATCTCCTGAGTAAACTAGGACCATTGGGACCTTGGGAGAGGGCTGAAGGAGAGGGGAGAGGCAGGGAGGGGAGCAGAAAAAAATGTAGAGCTCAAAAAAAATTAAAAAAAAAAAGAAAAAAGCCAGATTCGGCAAAAAATTATTCATGTTTGAACGACTACCATACTTTTCCCAAGTATCTTTCTATGGTTCAATCTTTTAAAAAATATTTTTAGATTTATATAATTATTTTATGTGTATGAACCTGGCTCCCCTGTAAGAGCAACCTGTGGTGCTAACCACTGAGTCAACTTTCCAGGCTCTCTATAGCTCAAGCTTATAAAGTATTTAAGGTAACCTCTTTGGTTATATCATACTAGCGAGCCAGGCTGGGTGGTACATGCTTGTAGCCTCAGCATATCGAAGGCTGATAAGGTTCAAGCTCCACTCGTTCTCCATAGCCTGACCTTGCCACCAACCCAATCCAACACTCTAGTAGTCTTCCATTATACCTAAAATAGAATATCTGTTTAGTCCTAAGTAATCTGGCCCTGTATTGCTTGCTTTTGTTTTCTTCTTCATATAAGTATGTATAGTCTTCCTCAATCACTGTCTACCTTACTCGCTGAAGAGGGATCTCTCTACTCAACTCCAAGCTCTCTGACAGGCTAGTCTAGCGAAATATCTTGCTCTAGAGATCCTGTTTCTGTCTTCCAAGCACTGGGATTAGAGGTGGAGGCACCACACTCACTCAGCATTTCTATGGGTTCTATAGACCTGAACTTAGCTTTGCTTGCATGGAGAGATTTACCAGTGAGCCACCTCCCCAACCCTGCCTAGGCCTTTTTTTTCCCCAACCACCTTTACTCATTCACTGATCTCTAGCTATACTGGCCTTCCTTTTCTTGGCTTAGGGCAGGTTGATCTCCCTCTCAGGTTCTCTGTATTCTTCACTGCCTGCAAAGCTAGCATCCAAATCCACAGCCAGCTGCAGCTGTCTCCACCTCACCCTTCAGTTCAGACACGACTTTCTAGACCAGCCTTCTTCAGACCACACACCCTGTCCCACCTTTCTTAGACATACTGTTATCCAAATCATTTGTTTATATTTGCTACTCTTTGACTTTTAGTAACTGCAGGGGATTTCATCTTGCTGAAAATTTTAACTTGAATAATTACAGTGATATATGCCACGTAGCAAATATACAACAAACTGCTAAGCAAATTAACTATAATTGTAGATTTTATGGGTTTGAACACACTCAAAAGTATTGTCTAGTGTGAAATAAAATTACATTTATGTGAATAATCAGAATTAATTTATTAAATTTAGAAAAAAACAAAAGATAAAACACTGGAAAATTAGAAGTACAAACATTTTAACAATGATTTTCTTTAAAGTTTAGCAGAAAAGTTAGATTTTTGTTTCTCTTTGACAATAGCACTGAAATAGTCATATTTAATCAGAAATTATAATACTGAATGATTAATTTTAGTTCATAGTAGCATATTCTAAACATATTGAAACTTTAAGTCATATTAACCTTCCCTTCCCCTCCCTGCCAACTAAAAGCAGCTGAGATGCTGAAAGGGTCCAGGAGAGGCCTAGCACTTCCATGAGGACCAAACCTTTCTCTTGTTCCATGCCCTGAATAACAAAGACCACAAACACAAAATTCAAGATTTTTTTTAAACAAGAGTGTTTCTTTAGTTTCAAAACTAATGCTGACAGTAGAAAAGGCAGAATACAAGTTGTAGTGAAACAGACTCAGAAACATATTAGTAAGAATTTTTCCATGAAAAATCAATTCTGGGAGAATATTATTTCTTTTGTTTTTAAATATTTATATAATCACAGCAATATTTTCAATATTATAAACTATACTTTCAAATTTTTAGATTAACAATATTCCCTCCCTCAAAAAAGCAGAAATGATTGCTCAATTGGAGGCTAACAGCACACTAGAAATATTTTTGTTGTTGTTGTTAAAATCTTAAGAAATCAATCCTTGTCCTCTCGAAACAAAACTAAGGACTGAAACAGATTTCCAGTTACTATTAATCACACTGACTCTACTAAAAATAAAGTGTTTTCAAGGCTCTGATCCTTCATACTGCTGGCTAGTCTTATTAGATGAAATCTGGATCCTGTCCTGTCACTAAGATTACAACTCAACAATAGTGGTACAAACTGGTTCTAGATCACTTTGTGTGTGAGATGCTGAGTGCACATGTATATGGGTATGTACATACACAGGTTTGCAGAGGTCAGGTTTAGGTCAAGTCTCTTCATTCCGTATCTGCCTTATATATAAGTAGGTACTCTCATTTGAAATTGCCTTGGCTAGATACATTAGCGCCCCCTCCTCCAAACTTGCTATTCCTATATGTGCTTCTTTCTTGAGTCCTTCCAGGGCATGATATGGGTGCTAGGGATCTGAACATAGGTCCTCATGCTTATGCAAGTGCTTTACCCACTGAGCCATTTCCCGAGTCCTGTTTACTTTCAAGCTGATTTTTACTATATAAAGGAACAAACTTCTCATTTTCTAAGTTTTATCTATGAACTGCTGCTGATATTGATGATGTCAATGGTTATAGTGGCAAAAATATATATATATATCTCAATTTTAAGAAAGTTTCCTAACTGAATTTTTGGACAAAAATACTAAAATTATTCTCATATTTCAAGTAAGAAAATGGAGGCTCAGGAAAACTAGATTTCTTCAGAGAGAGATAGCTTGGCTTTAGACTACAGCCTATGCTTTTTACTACGTATCAATGGTCTTCCTGACATTAATAAAACATTTTATATAATTTACCCATACCATAATTAAAGGGAAAGATGAAGAGTAAAAGGGAAGATGAGAAGGGAAGTATGTAATTGAGAAAACTTAGGTAGCCTCCTTTTCAATTTGAATCCCCTTGATCTCCTTTTGTTGTCTTATTGCTCTAGCCAGAACTTCAAGAAAATGGGACACAGTTGTATGGCTGTGACAGACTGCAGGGCCACTGTCAGTGGCACCAGGATTTATCCCTTCTGTTTGTCCTGGCTTTTTGGGAACCCATTCTATTTGGATGGATACCTTGCTCAGCCTAGATATAGTAGGGAGGGCCTTGGACCTTCCCCAAAGCAGAGTGCCTTACCCTCTCTGAGGAGTGGATGGGGAGTGGTGTAAGGGGTAGGAAGGTAGGTGAAGGGAATGGGAGGAGGAGAGGGAGTGGGAACTGGCATTGGAATGTAAAATGAAAAAAGACAGTTTCTTTTCTTTTCTTAAATAAAATAACTAAAAAAAAAAGAGAGAGAGAAAAAAAACTTAGCTTGTCCAAGGTTTCAGGCTCTAAAGCCAACCAATATTCCTTCCCATTATGTGCTATATCTCAATCCCATGAAAGGTTGGAAAGGAAGAAACTAAGAACATAAACACACACAAAAAAATTAGAATAGCCATTTCTTATTTTAACTATCTTATAAAGGCTCAGATGTAAAAGACAGTAATATCCTTGGGCTTTGTAAAAAAGCTAAAGAAAAGTGATCTCTTTCAGTCTTAAGATCTGAACAATTACCAATTAAACACACACACTCTTCATTCAGGTGTGGCCTGTGAAAGTCTTTCTGGTCTAGATAGATTATTTCATCCTTCTCTCTTGGAATTCTCTTTCATTGTGATGATCACTTTTTACTGGCCCCGACCCACAAACCAGGTATCATCTTTAGACTTACGTATCCCTGCTATTCCAAGGGTTGGTTTCACTAAAGCTCTCCTATTGCCATGCATACATTCTCTTTAGATGACCTACCAATTCTTACAGATTCCTAAAAACTTAATCACCTAGATGCCTATTCCTTACAATTGACCAAATATAACTGGTCACGAGGTCCTTTCTTTGTTTTTAATTTATTTTGAGATAGGGTCTCACTATGTAAATCAAGCTGGCCTTAAGCTCAGAGAACCTCTTGCTCTGACTGATTCCCGAGAGCTAGGATTAGAGGCATGCATGTGCCAGCATGCCTGGTCCAAGTCCTTTCTTTCTGCTTTATCATTTTCTCTTTTCTGACTGACAAGCAGCTCAGCTTTTATCAGTCCCAACACGATGTTGCAAAACTCTGCTGATCAGTATTCCTAACTTTATTCTTACCTATTCTAGCCTCTCCGAGTTTTAGTGTAAATAAGCTTTCTTAATACAAATGATTAATGTAACTTTTCTGCTTAAACCTAAATATCCCACAGAAAACATAATTCGAAGATATCACATATTCAAATTTAACTCCATAAAGAACTAGTTAAATTTTTGAGAATAGGACTCAGAAATCTATCCTTTTCATTCTTCCAAATAAACTGAGCCTTGGACATGATTAAGCTGTGCGATTTCAGGTTAAAGTCCTATAAATTTCCTGTAAAATTCATTAATAAGCTAACCTTTACTGATCTTTCAGGCCTCAAATTTTATTCTTATTTATATATGTAACCTATGTTCCTTATTTAAATATCATTACTTACAGTTCTCATGAATACTGGTAGTTTGAAACCAAAATTTAAAAAAAGCATTGCTCATAAGGACACTGTTTGGGGAAAAATGTTAGTTAAGGTGTCTGGAACACTAAATGGACAGCTTTGCTGCACCACTAGTAAGCTTTAGGGAGATGCTTACCCTGCTGGCCCTGGGGGGTCTGTGAGATGATAAACTGTGCTGGTTGCAAGTTGGTGGTTGGATGTACCAACACAAACTGCTGCAAGTTGAGATTTTGCTGTTGAAGCTGTTGCAATTGTTGAAGATCCTAAAAGCTCAGAAGCAAAAGATAGATTAGAGAGATCCAGAAATGAAAGCTGGCTTAGTTAAAAGGTTCCTAGATGATGACTTCTATCACATCAAGTAACAATAAGACAATACTTAGCAGTTTTTCCCCCATGTCCTAATAGTCTGGCTTCCAGGATTATGTCAGTATGTGAGAAATTCTTGGGTCTCAGGCCAGAGAGAGGCTAAGTAAGTCAAAGTGCTTGCTTTGCAAGACTGAAAACTGGTGTTTGATCCCTAGAGCCCATGGTGGAAGAACAGAACTGACTTTACTGAGAATTGTCATGACTCACACACATAGAAAAATAGCAAAAATCAAAACCAAAAAAACCTTATGGCCTCTGCAAAAAGTTATTATTTTCGAGGGCATGATGTATACAGCATCACGACTTACGCTAAACCAAATTTTCAATAGTCACTAATATCTGTCAAAATGAATGAATACAGAATAAATGTATATAGTTCTGGGGGTGGCTGTTTTCAATTTTAAGACTCTATTATTGTTATTAGTGTGTGGTGGGTTTGCACATGGCACACATACATAAGGAAGTCAGAAGACCACTGGAGTTAATTCTCTTCTACCTGCTATCATTTTGAAGGTTAATCTTGGATGTCAACTTCACTACCTCTGGAATCAACTAAAATGCAAACAGCTGGGCATCGCTGTGAGGGACTTTATTGATTGGATCATTTGAGGTGGGATAAGACCTGTGTAAATCTGGCCCATTTAAAAGAACACAGAAGAAAGAAGCTCTTGCTTCTTGTCTACCTTCTCTCACTCTCTCTGGTTAAGTCCATCTACCCTGTTGCTGAGGCACTCCTCTGTGGTATTAGAACCTACTTCTTCAAGAGACCAAGAGAGAATAAAGAATAGCAGAGACATCCAAATGTACAAACTAAACAACTGCTGGATCTTGGCTTTTCCTTTGAGAGACAGCCATTGCTAATAAATTCCCTTTTAATATATACTCATTCTATATATTCTGTTTGTTTAGATCTGGTCTAAATGAAGTTCAAGATGGACTTTAAGAAAGCTTTTAAATATTTGGCCCAATTTTTCTCTATAAAGTAAAATTTGAGAGTGGAATATCTAAATTTCCATCAATAAATTCAAAGACCTAATTCCTGAAATTTGACACCAGTTTATTCAACTCAACTGAGAATTCGTAAGGTATAAGTGATCTTATTTATATCAATTTCAGATAAGGTCTCAGAGTTTACTTACTAAAATAATTTGTTTGATGAAGAAAATGGCCCAAATCAAAACACTATCTTGATACAGACTGTTCACACAGCAATAAAGATTAGTCTGATTCCATTTCAAGTATCTAGCTAAACTCTTGTTACAGTTTAAATGTACTTCCCTTCTCTACTGAGGATATAAAGACAATTTGCTTAGTTCTTCTTCCGAGACAAGATTTCTCTGTAGCTTTAGAGCCTATCCTGGAACTAGCTCTTGTAGACCAGGCTGGCTTCAAACTCACAGAAATCCGCCTGCCTCTGCCTTCTGAGTACTGGGATTAAAGGCGTGCGCTACCACCACCTGGCAACTGCTTAGTTCTTAAAACTTCTTCATATATCTCTTATATAACTTCTCACACTCCCTTTCATTTCCTTGAGATAAAGGATTTCACTTATTTTCCTTTTTGATCCTATTCTTTATGATTCTCAATGTAAATCCTTATTATCTATTGATAGTTTACTTTCAAACATGAAAACTGAAACCCTGTAACATTTTACTGCAGTTCTCCATGGTCCTACTCATTCCACAGCAGAAAGAAGCCTTGCTATCTTTCTCATATGCTGACAACATTTATTGTAGAGCACATGAAAAGAATTCTTCCCTGCCATGATTAGCTAATTAAGATAAAATCAGTAATCCCTTGACTCTGAAATATGCCAGCTACTTCCTCAAGAATTGTTGCTTAACATAAACATTCAGTTGTCCAAATAATTAGTTATATATTTATGATATCAACTCAAATTAGCAAACAAGTATATTGTTTCTGACTCAGTGAAGAAGAATAGTAGTGCCTCCTGGATCTAGAGTTAAGAGTTCCCTGGGCCTTTGAAGACCCACAGTAATAACTAGAAGGTTAATACTACTCAGTAAGGTATTTCCATTTTATCACTTGCTTTCCTGTAACCTTGCGCCTCACTCACCTGTGCAATCTGTATGGGTTGAGACAGGGGAATCTGCGTCATGGGTGTGGCAGCAGAGGCTGAGATGGTGGCCCCAGCAGCGCTGTGCTGTTGGCTGGCGGAATGCTGCTGGACTGCAGCAGCCAGGAGCTGGGCCTGGGCCTGGGCCTGCTGCAGTAATAACTGCTGCTGGGCTGGTGTCAAAGTCAGCTAAAATAAGAACAAACAAGGGAAGGATTGAAGAAATGGGGCCTATGATGCAAACGAACTGCTTTCAAACAGGTAACTCAAGTGGTATTAAGCCCTCACTACTCATGACATTACTAACATGCAGCTAGCCTGTCCACAAAAACTACTAGTACTAGCAGAACTTTAAATTAAAGTAATAGTCCCTATTTCAGACAAAAACATCTAGGCAAGAAATGTAACCAGTACATAAAAAAACAAAGAATCAATGCTGACAGGATATGCACGGAAATGTATACCCAAGAGCAAGTGATTAGTCAGATGAATGAGGGACAAAAGGCTGCTGAATATGACCAGGAAGAGAACTGACAAGGTCCAGCTGTTTAGTTAGAATCCCCACTAAATCTCACCATTTCCAGTATGTTTTAGATGTGACTAAAAATCATGAACTGTACTTCTTTCCTATCCAAATCTCCCTACTAGACCTTCCTTCACCCAATCTTCTGTCATTAGAAAGTACTGGTTTGCAACTTTACAACCTCTTTCCAACTCTAGGAAACAGGGAGTAAGAGACATTCTTTTAAATGCAAATGAATCTTAATGCCCAGATTTAATAAAATCTTGAAGGTACATGAACCCGGCCAGAATCCTAAGTGCTTGTTACTAACTAGTCACCAAAAACCAAACCCTTATAGTAATGCAAGAACTGTATTGAGAACAAACCTAAACTTTCATAATATAGCATTTTGAAAATGCTTACATAAAAGTAGTAAGTATGCTGGACCTTCCTTTTGATGGTATGTTCTGAACGAACAAGTAGGGTAATACCTATATCTCAATGAACAGTCATTTAGCAGAACAGCCTGCCTTCTAACCTAACAGAATCTAATTTATCCAAACAATTTGCATTAGAAACCCAAGAACCAAAGCAAAACTATTCAAAAATGCAATAGTCTTCAAAATGTGTGTGAATATTTCTATTTGATATGATACAGGTATATATATTAACCTCTAGTGATGGAAGTATCATAAATAAATGTGTAACAGGTCTTAAAAGGGCTGTCCATATAAAAAATTCTGAAGGTTGATATAATATGAATTGATTAGTATTTTTCTTACCATTCCCTTGACTCACTCTCCTCACAAAAGAAAACACATAAGCTTCCAACATTGAAAAATTATTCCAAATAATAGCTTAGAACAGAAATCACTAAATAGTTAAACAAAAGCTTAACAGTCACGAAGGACAATCTGTTACCAGTAAAAATAAGTACCACTTATTGAAGGTTACATGCCAAGCACTGTTTTAAGACCTATATATAAATTGCAATGGTACTTAAAATAATTATTATTAATATTTCCATTTAGAGGAAGGAAATCTAACATATAGGGAGATAAAGTAACTAGTCTTTTAGTAATTAAGTAATTACACAGACAGGATATAAGACCACATGCTTTATTTTAGGATATTACAAAGCCACTTGAAGAAGATGTTTTACTTTCAGGGTATTGGTCCACTGTTTAACTATTCTGCAACAACACAACTCCAATTTTATCATACATATGGCAACGACTTCCTTGCACAATGAAGCAATACCACATTTTAATGTAAGTTAAAAAATTTGCAGTTTATTCTCAACATCTGCAGTTGTAACAAAAGAAATCTTGCAAAGTAATGACAAAGGTAATTCTTAGAGCTTCTGTATCCACGAAGTCCCTTAAAGATGAAATGGCACCATGCTGGTGCCAGCTGCAGGGAAAGAGCTTCAATACAATACGAGCCAGAGGCAATTCAGACACAGAGGAAATTCAGTACAATTTTTCAATGGAAACTTACCCCAGTTATCTGTCCCCCAGCCAGCATTAGCTGGGTCTGGGGAATGGCTGACTGCACTGAAGGCTGCTGGGAGGGCTGGCTTGGCTGCTGGGAATCCCCCGATTCTTCACTAGATTTAGACTGAAGTGGGATTGGATAGGAAATAAGTATCTCAAGTAGGTGATTAAAAGAAATGTACTTCTAACTCTAAAAATTCAAGAATTATTTAAAATATGTGCTATTCAATTTTGAGTTTTGGGGTTTTCTGTTCCTTTTTTACATGCCTTTTCTTTCTACTTAAGTGCCCTTACAGCTTTTTTATTCCAATCCCAGAAAAGCTGCAAGTATAATTTTTTAACAGAAAAGTAAATTGGTCCTCCATGAGTCAACAAAACCTTTCACAACCCCAAATTCCCAGTGCAGGTAATGAAGAGAAAAGGGAAAAAATGATTTTCAATTCATTTTAGACCCTCCAAACTAACATATTTCTTGTGGCAAGTATCAAACTTCTCTATATACTATATTATAGTTAAGTAACTTGACCCAAAGAACTTTTTCTCTACTCTTTTAAAACAACTCTAAATGCAGCATCTTCCACCAAGTAATTTACAAGCCTGAAGGAAAATGATATAGTCAAGAATTTATAGGTCCTTAAATGGCCAGAGAGAAAAATTTTTATGGTAATTAAAACTGGTTATACAGAATATTAAAATTCTGCATAGATTTGCATATTTTCTACCACCTGTTTGGGAGATTGCAGCAGAGCTAATTAACATAAATGCTCTGATTAATGCTGCCAGTCACTGAAAGATAATTACAGTGCAGGACTGTAAACATTCTGCACTGGAGATATAGCCTGTTTGCCAACATCTCTCTAAGGGATATTAAGTTTACCATGGCAACCAAGGCAATTTTCTGCCTCTTCTCCCTCAGAAAGAAGGGTCACAATATCTCCTTTTTTCTCCTTATTTCTGTGTTACTAGGTCCATATTCCACAAGGTTTCATGTATTTCATGTTCTGGGTTGAACATTCAAGGTTTTAAATGTTTAGTCTGTAGTGGTACTGCATCAATCTTCTAGAATACTGTCTTTCTCTTCTGACTGTTAGTTCCCTAAACATTACACTGAAAAGGCTGACTGAAATGTTAAGGAACTGTGCAAAATACTTGAGCCTTGAGTCTTTCTATCTGATGGTTTACAGAAGCAAAGCAAAGCAAAAAAGAAAACAGAAAAAAAAAAAACAACCAGATTTATAATTTTGACTGTCTAACCAATAATGACTTGCTTTTTTAAAAAGAAAGGTTCTTTATCATTTTAAATTATTCATGTGTGTGTGAAAGAGAGAGTATGTGCATATGGTGTGTGCAGATTCCTACAGAGGCAAGAAGAGGGTGTCAGATGTCCTGGAGTTATAGTTATACATGGTTCTGAGCCTTCTGGTATGGGAACTAAACTGGAGTCCTCTGTAAATCCTTTTAACCACCGAGCCATGGCTCCAGTGTACTTTAAATGTTACTTCTGTTTAGATCAGAGAAGATCATTACAATGTTATCAATGTCTTTATTTAAATACAGGTAAACAAAACTGAAACCCGGGAGGCTGTGATTTGCCAATGATTACTGGTAATTATTGGTACAATGAGATTTTGAAACCCAAGTTCCCTGACTTTCTGCCCAGTGTTTCTTGAAAAATGATAAACAGTCTGGGAAAAAAAGGATACTTAATAAGCTATTTAGTTTTGTGTTCAGTTCCTGAACTTGATTCTAAAATTTTGAAAGTGAACTTTCACTTGTCCACTGCTGGCTCACACACAGTAGCAGATTAAGGTGATTTTCATCAATGACAATTATCACCAACTGGATTCAGCAATAAAAATATAGAAATAATAAAATTAATAGTTACTAACAATCACAAGTAGTTCTAAATTATATGCTCATTATAAGTTATGAAAAAAATTAATAGAAGATATAACCTATGTGTTCATATTTCAACTTACCTGAACGTTTAAAGATTGAGCAGCAGCCTGTAAACTTGTCCCAGCAAGCTGAACCTAGAAGGAAAGTAATCAATGGACATAATAATATAAAATAGTTATTTATCATTAGAGGATGCCATCAAGAAATAAATTCAAAACAAAATGTATACCACTGAGTTAAGACTTCAACATACAAATAAATATTTTATGGGGTTAAAACTTTACACAAGCCGGGCGATGGTGGCACACGCCTTTAATCCCAGCACTCGGGAGGCAGAGGCAGGCGGATCTCTGTGAGTTCGAGACCAGCCTGGTCTATATAGCTAGTTCCAGGAAAGGCTTGAAAGCCACAGAGAAACCCTGTCTCGAAAAACCAAAAAAAAAAAAAAAACAAAAAAAAACAAAACAAAACAAAAAACAAAAAACTTTACATACAAACTCAACAACCCCAACTGAAAACTGCAGAAATTTCTTCTAAATTAGCATCATCACTAAATGAGCACTATCAGTCACGCCACACATATACTGGTTGGGTGCTTCTTATTTAAACTCCATTTGTAGTCATAGTTCTGAAAACCTAACTTATATCTTCCATACTGTTTTAAAGAACACATAAAAACAAGCTATCAATACACACTGATTTTATCATTATAAACAAAAGAACTAGTTAAGGGAATCTACTCTATAATCCATACATGAAAAAAAAAACCTGTTTTACTATTTAATACTTGTATTTCAAAAGTTCAAATCACAGTCATGTTAAAGTAAGGACACACATGCAATTAGAAAACCATCATTTGGCAACCATGACATCAACCTAACTTTAAAAAGGGTCATCTACGTATTATCTATCAGGCCAAATGAGAATAAAGTATTTCTCCACAGATGCTGAGAATTACAAAGGGTACAACAGTAACTTCAGAGGGAGGGCTACCTGTCAAGCAAATGATCAGGTTGAATAATTAATGCTACCAGTAATGAGATTTGCCTTCTGTTGCAAGCACTGTGAAGACTGTACTTTTTATGTTGTAATCCTACCAAAAATGGATAACCTGAATTTAAAAAAAAAAAAAAAGAACACTCAGTATGACAGGAAAGCAGACAAACTCAAACTGAGAAAACTTCTTGATCTGTACTCTTAAAAGTGTTAAGTTTTTTAAAACTAAATATTTATTTATTGAAGGAGTTCGTTGTCTCCTAATATCTTGCAGCCTCTCAAAGATTAATGTCTTCAAATTAAAGAAAGACTAAGAAGGGAGAAGAAAGATTATAAACTAGACTAGAATAAATGTAAGATTAAAACTGAATGCTGATAATAAAAATAAACATAGAATACAAAAGCTATTGTGTAAGGATCCAAGCAACTAGCTGAACATAGATGCAAAGAATTATGAACCATTCCAACTTTGCTTCATTTAAAAACAAACTTGATAATAGTTTTCCTAAATTTTTACCTATTTTCAAGTAGAGCAGCTTTTTTTTTTTTTAAAAAAAATAAAGAAAATAGTTTGGTAGTTTAATAACATTTTGATGAAAAGAGCGGTAACGTAAATTAAATGAACAGAATGTATGTTCTATTTTAGATTGGGGGAAATCACATGGTATCAGGGTATTAAGTTAAAACTTGTTGTTTTAAAAATCTGAAATTAAGAGGTTAACAGTCAAGCAAGTGTCTGAGTAGTCACCTAAATTACAGTGGCTTTAAGGTAGTGATAACTGGGAATTTTGAATGACTCTAAGTTATTTACTAGTATCACTTAGCCATCACAGATTCAAGCTCATTTTCATGAAAATAGTAACCTACCTGTTATATATGTCCTACCAAAATACTCTTTTGTTCACAGTTTTAAAGTCAATAGTTATGTAGAAACTATTAATTCTACATGAATTATTCAGCAGGATAGTTACATATGATTTGAAATAACTTCCCTAGCATTTTATGTCTCCTTTAACAAGCATTCTCAGCTATGGCCGGGTGAAACTGTCTACCTGGTGAAGATGTCCAAGGAAAGCCTGGGCCTGGGCTGTTGAGATCGCTCCTCCAACAGGAACAGGCTGTTTCTGGAAGTCCAGGCCATTTGTCTGAGTGCCTGGAAAGCAAACAAAATAACTATTAAGTGAAATAAATTCAAATGAAGCAAGTACTCAAATTCCAGTTACCAACATCCATTAGGAACTTGTTTTGAGTAATCATTTTTCTAAGTATCTTCAAAGAGAAGAAGGGATTTGGAAATAGAACATCATGTAAGAGGAGTCAGAAACTGTAGCAAAGGAGATAGAAAGAGTCAGAAGATGAAGTGCTGTGAGATGCTGTTTTCTGGATGTGCAATGGCTATGGCACTCATGAACTCACAGCATGTGTGGTTACCTCCTTAAGACCTCCACAAACCAGCCAAAATCCTAGCACAATGGGGACGTACCATCCAGGCTCCATCCCTTAACGAGGAGCCACTGGCAGCTGGCATTTGATATAGGAGGGAAAACCAATCTATTTTGAGGGTGTTCCTACTAGATTTCCTGTGCTCCAGTAGATGATCCCAAACCCATACACATACAGCCATCACTAGCTGGACTTTGTGGACTGTCAAAACAAAAAATAGCCTGGTGGTGGTGGTGCACGCCTTTAATCCCAGCACTCGGGAGGCAGAGGCAGGCAGATCTCAGTGAGTTTGAGGCCAGCTTGGTCTACAACAGCTCGTTCCAGGACAGGAACCAAAAGCTATGGAGAAACACTGTCTCGAAAACCCCTCCCTCCCCCAAAAAGAAAGAAAAACAAAAAATAAATATACCCACAAACTAAAAGAAAAAAGTCATAAAGTTAGGACAGGGACATGTTAGGAAATATTAGGGGAGATAAAGGAGAGAAATAGGGAAATACTTTACTATGTATGTATATGCATGGAATTCTCTAGAATAAAGAAAAATATAACGAAAAATAAAAGGAAATGCAATGAAACAGAGCCGTGGTTTGAATGAGAATGGCTCCCATAGGCTCATATATTTGAATACTTGGCACCTAAGGTGTGGCCTCATTGGAGGAGGTATGTCATTGGTGGTGGGCTAAGTATTTAACACCAACAATGCCTAAGAAGCAGGAACACAAATAAAAAAATGACTGACAATTGCCAAGAATTATTGAATACACAGAGATACAGTGGTGATTGGAATCTATTCATTGAGTTCTTGGCCAATGAATCATGTAAGATAATTATTATTAAATACATGAGGGTCTAGAGACCCTGGGAAAAAAAAACATCAAAGTAGTCTAGAGTGCATCAAGAAATGACAGGCCAGAGCCAAAGATTCTGTAGAATAGTATTACCAAGGTGAATCTTTGTAATCCTGTATCCAAAGCTACTTAATAATGCATACAGAGAAAAATGGGTTGAAGACAAACAGGCAATTACAAGCAAAGAAGTAGGGAATCTTTGATCTTAGTGTTTCTAAGAGCTAAGGGAAGGATAGTAGTTTAAATGCTAAAAAAAAAAAAAAAAAAAAAAATCAAAGCACCGAGAAGCAAATTAATCTGAAGAAAATAGAAGACAGTGATAAAAGTAGGACCGATACTTAATGAAAGTGGAAAACAACACACAACAGAAAAATATCAGCTTAATTCTTTCAAAGGAATCATGTTATGTTTCTGGTAAGAAGAAGCAAAAGAATAGGGGGGAAGCAAGTAAACCATTTAAGGACAACAGAAGAAAAAAAAAAAACAAACATATCACTATGTTGCAGGCCAAAAGATGCAGTGGGTAAAGCATTTGCTCTGCTTGCCTGAAGACCTGTACTTGGCTCCCCAGAAGCCAACTAAAAACTAGACATAGTAGCACAGGTAATCCTGAGAGGAGATGGAGGCAGCAAAATCTTTCAAAGCTTCTAGGTCAGCTATCCTGGCATGACCAGAGTTGAACAAGAGAACCTGTCTCAAACATGGTTAGAGGTAAGGACTGTTACCTGAAGATGTCCGGTGACTTCCACACATGTTATGCATACGCAGGTAAAAACAAGATTTGATAAACCACTTCACATTAATAAAACTGAAACTTAGAAATGGATTACTTTCCAGAAAACAGAATTTATCAAGACTGACTCAAGAAGAAATAAAAAATACAAGAGTCTCACAACATTGAAAGAAACCGAATTAGTAGGTAAACAAACAAATAAACAAAAAATTTCACCCAATGAAAACACAATGCTTAGATAACTTTACCAAGGAATGGTTCCAAAAATTCAATAAATAATTAATTCAATTATTTTCCCAGAAAACAACAACAAAAACAGAAAAACACATCCTATCTCATTTACTGAAGTCAGTGTAACCTAGATAACATAACTTAGTACAGAAAAATATAAAAAAGGAAAAAAAATACATGCCAGTTTTATTCATAAACACAGTCACCTTCAGAAAAAAAGACAGGAAAAGAAAAAATATTTGAGACTACAGAATGACGACTGAGACGAAATGAGTTCAAGTACAGCCACCAAGTTCCAGTTACACGGCATAGGCCCAGCTAAGATACTTGGATTTTTGTGAAGTTATGAGTCCTTGTCTCTCACAAAGTTCCATTTCTCCCTTCAGGGCCATGAAGGAAGGACCAACATGCAAAAGTTTCCTCCCCATATCAGCAGATCATGGCACTAAGCATATTTTTGTTTTCAATTGTTAAGACTACTTTTCCTCTTGTTGCCCACTCCTTGAACACAGAAGCAATATATCTCTACCTCTTTTAATACAAAAACACATTTTGTACTTCTCTAACATTTGGTGAGCAACAGGAGAAATAAAATTGAACCAATTAACACACAATACAGATGAATCTCAAGTCTGCACATTTGGTCAAGGAGACACTCCAAGACGACATTTGGATGATTTCATTTCTATGACATTTAGAAAAAGGCAAACTTTTCGAAAGGAGACATTAAAAAAACCCAACTAATTGACCTTGCTTTATAAATAAAAGAAAAATAAATAGAAATATTTTCACCATATAACACACAATAACTAAGACTGAGATGGAATCTTTTTACATCCTCCCCCCACCTCCCATTCTTCTCCAAATATTTTGATATCCTATTACCAAGGAATCAAAGTCATTGTTACTTGAAAAACAATACTTAAGTAACTAATCAATAACTGGAGCAAACTGGGGTTATAAGGAGACATAAGGTGTCATAAATGGGGGCTTTTGGAGTCTGTCTCAGAGGTTATTCCAGTTACACTAACAACTTCTTGAGAATTTATCTATTATTTTATTTAATGAGAAAGAGTGTTTTGCCAGCATGGACATATATGCACCATGTACACACAGTACCCGGAGGCCAGAGAAGGTTGGATCCCCTGAAACTGGAGATACACATGGCTGTGAGTTGCCATGTGAGTGTTAGAAGTCCAACTCAGGTCCTCTACAAGAGCAGCATGTGCTTGTAGTTACGGAGACATCCCTCCAGTCTCCACTTACAATTCTTTTAAATTGAAGGAGATTTTAAAAGAAGAAATCAAAATTTAAAACTCCATGGGAAATATTACTAATTTAAATGATGACAAACTTTGGCACAAATGTCTCTAAACAGGGCATGTGTCAAAAAATATTTATAAATACATATTTTCAGTAGTTTTCAAATTCTATACCACAAGTGTTAATATTCTGAGATCACTTAAATTTTTTGTTCAGTTTCAGTTTTCCTCAGGTAAGTTTCCTTTTCTGCTTCCTTCCTGCTCATTGCTATCTCCAAAGTGATCTACTTTTTAAAGGAGAATCACTTTTGTCCAGAACTTTTTTTTTTTGGTAGAAGGCATACAGCATTCCTGTTTATTCTACTCCTGTTGCCATTTCTCTACAAGAATGGAAATCTGTATCTTTTGAACATTACCTAAAAATGTGTGAACAGGAGTATCAACGTTATCATATATATAGGTGAGATGGAAAAGGACTAACAATGAGAGAAAGAACCCTAAGGTGATGGTATAATCACAAGGAGCAGACTGTGGATACTGCCATCTTCTCTAGCCACGGAAGTCACAGTTAAGTAACTAAATTCAGCCTGGGACTTATTTTCTTTGAAATAACTTTAAGGGCCAAACTAACTATAAATAATCTTCCCCAAATTTTAGACCTTTTAAACCTATTTTTGTCTCAGCATACACAGTCATTACTTAAAAGATAACATTAATAGTTTCCAAACAGAACAATCCTTTGAGAAATTAAATTTAGATTATAATTCAAATCCTTTAGTAATTGCAATCTTTTTCAGGACATAGTGACACTTGAAAAGAAAAATCCTCCCCCCCCCCCAGTGTCAGGGGCCCTGAATTATTTTTTCTACATACATAAAAATCCATTTGTTACTGTTTCAGATCCAACTTCAGAACATCAGAATCACACAAATCACAACTAATTCAGAGTTTGAGGATTTAAAAAAAAAAATCGTAGGAATAGTTGCAAAATTTCCCAAGCCCTGGAAACAAACAAACAAATTATATCTATTCTCAGGTCTGAGAGGGCCTGATTACACAGGTAGTACTGTTTCTTGTTTCTATCCTCCATTCTGTTAGGAACTCTGGGAACATGCAGAGGTGTGTGTGTGTGTGTGTGTGTGTGTGTGTGTGTGTATTACACCTATTCTGAACTTCTGTTCCCAGTAACAATTAATAACACAGTATTAAAATTGGAAATTCAATCTAATTTGCAAGTACAAGATCTTTGTTACTATGAAATTGGAATCCACCTAAAATGCAATATAATCTTTATTTACTATACCTAATGTGATGAGGACTCTATGTAACAAGAGGATTATTCAGCTACTTTACTAAATCTTCACCATCATTGAGTGCTCATCTTTTGAAAGGGGAGGGGAAATACATGACTTCTTCAAAAAATAAGCCAGGTGCCTGGCACTGGGACAAAGATGTAATCTGCCACAATCCCCACAGTCAGACACATCCCTGGGAGGCAGTTTCTAGAAGGTGGTAGAACCCACCCAATCTACAGATTACAAAGCTAAGTATAGACAGCATGGGTAAAAACCAGTAAAAAGACAACTCCTCAGTGTGGGCTCAGCACAAGCGTAAGCTACTCAAAAGACAAGGACA